GTTGATGAACAGGGCGGGAGATTTTCACAAAGCTGTCACTGACAAAGGCTGGCTCCTTTACACACAGTATAATTATCACGATTACTGATGTGGAACGTTTTAAACTGTTCCAATGGCTGGCCGCAAACACTGCTATTCACATCTCACTTCGGTAAATTGATCAAGTTTCCGGTATTGACAACAGTGCAGCCAAGGTGAACGATGTGTCAGGGGATATATTTAATAATATTCTACTGAGTTGTGTTGGTTGGTTGTTAAATGCCGTTCTCAGGAAAATTCCATCTATATAGCAGTGACCTGTAAATAATCGCATCTGGACCTGACAATCCAGTGATCAATAGCATCTGGACCTGACAATCCAGTGATCAAGTAGCATGAGCATCGATCTGCACCCAGTACAGTTAACCCAGTATACAATGACATCAGTCAGTCAGCGAACCTGACTACCCAGTAGAGCGAACCTGACTACCCAGTACAGCGAACCTGACCACCCAGTACAGCGAACCTGACCACCCAGTACAGCGAACCTGACCACCCAGTACAGTGAACCTGACCACCCAGTACAGCCGAACCTGACCACCCAGTACAGCGAACTGAACCTGACCACCCAGTACAGGAACCTGACTACCCAGTACAACCTGACCACCCAGTATAACCTGACCACCCAGTACAGCGAACCTGACCACCCAGTACAGTGAACCTGACCACCCAGTACAGCTGAACCTGACCACCCAGTACAGCTTAACCTGACTACCCAGTACAGCTTAACCTGACCACCCAGTACAGCTTAACCTGACCACCCAGTACAGCTTAACCTGACCACCCAGTACAGCGAACCTGACCACCCAGTACAACCTGACCACCCAGTACAGCTTAACCTGACTACCCAGTACAGCTTAACCTGACCACCCAGTACAGGGAACCTGACTACCCAGTACAACCTGACCACCCAGTACAACCTGACCACCCAGTACAGCTTAACCTGACCACCCAGTACAGCGATCCTGACCACCCAGTACAGGGAACCTGACTACCCAGTACAACCTGACCACCCAGTACAACCTGACCACCCAGTACAGCTTAACCTGACCACCCAGTACAGCTTAACCTGACCACCCAGTACAGGGAACCTGACTACCCAGTATAACCTGACCACCCAGTACAGCTTAACCTGACTACCCAGTACAGTGAACCTGACCACCCAGTACAGGGAACCTGACTACCCAGTATAACCTGACCACCCAGTACAGCTTAACCTGACTACCCAGTACAGCTTAACCTGACCACCCAGTACAGCTTAACCTGACCACCCAGTACAGCTTAACCTGACCACCCAGTACAGCGATCCTGACCACCCAGTACAGCTTAACCTGACCACCCAGTACAGCTTAACCTGACCACCCAGTACAACCTGACCACCCAGTAGAGCAACCTGACAACCCAGTACAGCTTAACCTGACCACCCAGTACAGCTTAACCTGACCACCCAGTACAGCGAACCTGACTACCCAGTACAGGGAACCTGACCACCCAGTACAACCTGACCACCCAGTACAGTGAACCTGACCACCCAGTACAGCCGAACCTGACTACCCAGTACAGGGAACCTGACTACCCAGTACAACCTGACCACCCAGTACAGCTGTAACCTGACCACCCAGTACAGCGAACCTGACCACCCAGTACAACCCTGACCACCCAGTACAGCTTAACCTGACCACCCAGTACAGCCGAACCTGACCACCCAGTACAACCTGACCACCCAGTACAGCTTAACCTGACCACCCAGTACAACCTGACCACCCAGTACAGTGAACCTGACTACCCAGTACAACCTGACCACCCAGTACAGCGAACCTGACCACCCAGTACAGTGAACCTGACCACCCAGTACAGCGAACCTGACCACCCAGTACAGCCGAACCTGACCACCCAGTACAGCTTAACCTGACCACCCAGTACAACCTGACCACCCAGTATAACCTGACCACCCAGTACAGCTTAACCTGACCACCCAGTACAACCCTGACCACCCAGTACAGTGAACCTGACTACCCAGTACAACCTGACCACCCAGTACAGCTTAACCTGACTACCCAGTACAGCGAACCTGACCACCCAGTATAACCTGACCACCCAGTACAGCTTAACCTGACTACCCAGTACAACCTGACCACCCAGTATAACCTGACCACCCAGTACAGCTTAACCTGACCACCCAGTACAGCTTAACCTGACCACCCAGTACAGGGAACCTGACCACCCAGTACAGCTTAACCTGACCACCCAGTACAGCTTAACCTGACCACCCAGTACAACCTGACCACCCAGTACAGGGAACCTGACCACCCAGTACAGCGAACCTGACTACCCAGTACAGCTTAACCTGACTACCCAGTACAACCTGACCACCCAGTACAGCCAGACCTGACCACCCAGTAGAGCGAACCTGACCACCCAGTACAGCTGAACCTGACCACCCAGTACAACCTGACCACCCAGTACAGCCAACCTGACCACCCAGTACAGCTTAACCTGACTACCCAGTACAGCCTGAACCTGACCACCCAGTACAGCTTAACCTGACCACCCAGTACAACCTGACCACCCAGTACAGTGAACCTGACCACCCAGTACAGCGAACCTGACCACCCAGTACAGCGAACTTGACCACCCAGTACAGCGAACCTGAGCACCCAGTACAGCGAACCTGACCACCCAGTACAGCGAACCTGACTACCCAGTATAGACTTTTTGCAGAGTGTGGTGTTAAACAAAACATATGGATTCAAACAAGCAGATTATGCTTGTGCATCTAATGAGACACATAATTTGTGTTCATTCTCAAATTTAGGTGTAACTGTGACAGTGGTATGCCTGTGGTAACACCATGTTTGTGGTTACACCATGCCTGTGGTAACACCATGCTTGTGGTAACACCATGCTTGTGGTAAGACCATGCCTGTGGTAACACCATGTTTGTGGTAACACCATGCTTGTGGTAACACCATGTTTGTGGTAACACCATGCCTGTGGTAACACCATGTTTGTGGTAACACCATGCTTGTGGTAACACCATGTTTGTGGTAACACCATGCTTGTGGTAAGACCATGCCTGTGGTTACACCATGCTTGTGGTAAGACCATGCCTGTGGTAACACCATGCTTGTGGTAACACCATGCCTGTGGTAACACCATGTTTGTGGTAACACCATGCCTGTGGTAACACCATGTTTGTGGTAACACCATGCTTGTGGTAAGACCATGCCTGTGGTTACACCATGCTTGTGGTAACACCATGCTTGTGGTAACACCATGCCTGTGGTAACACCATGCCTGTGGTAACACCATGTTTGTGGTAACACCATGCTTGTGGTAACACCATGTTTGTGGTAACACCATGCTTGTGGTAAGACCATGCCTGTGGTTACACCATGCTTGTGGTAACACCATGCTTGTGGTAACACCATGCTTGTGGTAACACCATGCCTGTGGTTACACCATGCTTGTGGTAACACCATGCTTGTGGTAAGACCATGCTTGTGGTAACACCATGCCTGTGGTAACACCATGCTTGTGGTAACACCTTGCCTGTGGTAACACCATGCTTGTGGTAACACCATGGCTAGGAGTACACCAGGGTTACATCTGAATAAGGCACTGACATCACCATGGTGATGAATTGAATGTCTTGCCTGCATCACTCCAGCCTTGTTTCTTACATAAATGATGTTCATGCTGTTGATGATTGGATTTTCTGGTCCTGACGATTATTTACAGATTGCCACAATTTAGCTGGAATACTGCTGAGTGCAGCATTAAACAACAAACAAACAAGACTCACATGAATATGACTGACTGACTGACTGACTGACTGACTGACTGACTGACTGAGTTTGGTTTTACGCCACTTTTAGCAATATTCCAGCAACATCACGGCAAGGGACACCAGAAATGGGCTTCACACATTGTACACATGTGGGGATTCGAACCCGGGTCTTTGGAGTGACGAGCCAACGCTTTAACCACTAGCCTACCCCACCACCCCCACATGAAGATGACACCCTGGATATAACTGAATTACAGTGTAAACTCGTTCACTCATACAAGGTTAAATATGGCTTAGTATGATCCTTGGCAAGAGATTATAAATGTTGATATTACGAGACATGTGTAATCTATGAAACTGATAAGTGTACTTGTGATCCAAATTTATCCTAAGTGATCATCTGAGATCATAGTTTTTGTCTGCTGTAAGAGACAACCATTCTGCCATTACAGGATTCTGTTGTAACTTTTATACTTTAGAACATTATAATGTCCAGGGAATTCTACCCAAAATTTCCTCATTGTCTCCTGATTCTTAGTCCAGCATATAACTAGAAGATTTGGCACTAATAATATACAAGGTGTGCCGGGTCCGATGTAGGCCTTAGCTGGAATACGAGTTTATTTTTATGAACTACCTGATTCTAAACTTATACCACATCGACCTGCAGCTATTAAAAATAAGTAGACTTGGTAAACAAAGACATCGGTTTCAACTCATGAAGTCTGCGTTACATAGAAATATACATACATATTAAAAACCGAGGGATCTGGTTTTAAAACTAATCGAAGAAGCTGAATATTGTTGTATTTTCGTGAAATAAGACGATCATTATTCTTCGCATCAAGATGTGCGGTCTGTTCCGGAATAAACATATGACAGTGTCATAAACTATCACATACAATCTCATCAAATAACGGAAACTCCGATGCATCAATTATACTTCCTTTATGACAAAACGTTAACTTTAAACCAGCCGCTGACGACGTAGCCACAAGAAGAGAGACCACCATCGACGGCAACTCAATGTTATGATCAGACCGTCTGATATCCTCAAGACATCTCCCGCACTCACAGGCCACTCTGAGCCGTGTGACATCCTAGCACGGGCTGCGCAGGTAAACAGAGAGGGGTAATATATCAGTTTGACAGTGTTATCGAAGCAACTCACCTCTGGCTTTTGTCCTCGCACAACCGCGTCCTATTTTCTGTCAAGGCTGCAACGAGGAAGGGAAATCCCCAGACCAAATCCCCACCTGTGAAAGCTGAAACTGGGTTTCCCCAAACGTTTCGTTGCAATAATCTCGCAACACTTTCAAGGATGGCGCCCAATACAGATCCCAGTTCATAGGCAAGGGAGATAATTATTCGTTTTCCGATTGTAACAAATTGTATATTATGTGGGATAGTAGCATATTTGAGTATATATATATGCCAGTTTTATATACTGTTGCAGTTCCTATGTTACTAGAATGAAACAATATTTCCACTATAATGTGTTTTCAGTGTATCACAGGACATTGTTCCGTTAGTGTTTCTTGCAACAATATTTCAAAACATACTTCGAGGTGCTCTAGCATATTGTGGTGTGTACATATGAGAACAATTTTAACACTCTTTGATCTACTTTCATTTTCATCTTTTTTTCAACCAGCTGTTAACGCCACATAGCTAGCGATTGGCGCCACAAGTTCACAGTCTCAAATCGAATCCTATATTGTACTCAATCCCCGATTTTCAAGTACTAGAAATAGAATCTGCGCTTTAATAAGAAAGTGTAATCCAAAGCAATAACACCTTTTACATTTGACCACTTTCTAATAAAGGGCATTGTGTATTCATAGTGAAAATTCTTACAAATACATGGACCTTATTTATTATGTAAGTTTTCAACTGTTGAAATATGAAATTGATGAGAGCATTGTTTTCCACACTTCACATTATTTTAACATTGTCCGTGAAACAATTTGTGTTTATTTATTGCCGTTCATGTTGATACCCATTTTCAATTACCTGATCGGCGCATTTGTGTCGTCAATCTCAGTGTTTTCCTGTGTTTTTTATCAGAGACCATATAATAGATTATATGGTAATATTATATGGTCTCTGTGTTTTATTTTCAACTGGTTCTTTTGCATTTGCAGCATGTCACTACCCTTACTAAACAGAAATATTTCTCACTGTTCGTAATTTTGAAATGTACGTGAATGGTACACAGTAACACTCAATAATTATAGACGGAAATCATTTTGTTATTTTCATCACCGATAACCCTGTAAACCAACCAGTACTGTACTCTACTAGACGATTCATTTGCCTGCCAAACAAACGAAACGGGATTTTAAATAACTTTACTGTCAAGATTAAACTGTCTGTCACCTTGCAGTTTGTACTTTAGGAAAATTCGTGTCAGCTTTTCTTGCACAAAAATGGACATGTATCTGAGATAGTCATATAGTGCTGTGGATATAAGACTGACCGATCCAAATAATTTAGCAAATACTCTGATCGTGTTTAACACATGCTTGTCAAATGCGTATGGTTAATTATAACATGTAAGGTATGTGATAATTATAATATCAAACTAAACAAAATATATAAAAATATGACTTGCATATAAACATCTGAATACCTATGACGGTAACGCGCAAAATTCAAATTTTGGGTTCTTTGCTACAATACTGTTACATCCCCAAATGGGAATATGGTTTGTATAATCAATATAGGACACACATGAAAGTCAATGTCACAATGTCACGAAAATATCGTATCAACCCTGCGCCCCGTGAAGATCTCAGGCTTAAACTGCCATAAGCCTATGTTACAGTATAGTATATGTTACAGTCTATGTTACAGAATAGTATATGTTACAGTCTATGGTACAGTATAGTATATGTTACAGTCTATGTTACAGTATAGTATATGTTACAGTCTATGGTACAGTATAGTATATGTTACAGTCTATGGTACAGTATAGTATAGTGAAGTCCATTTCTGAAAGTATAGTATATGTTACAGTCTATGGTACAGTTGCTGGAATATTGCTAAAAGCGGCGTAAAACTAAACTCAGTCAGTCAGTCCGTACAGTATATGTATATGTTACAGTCTATGGTACAGTATAGTATATGTTACAGTCTATGTTACAGTATAGTATATGTTACAGTCTATGGTACAGTATAGTATATGTGGTACTACAGTCTATGGTACAGTATAGTATATGTTACAGTCTATGGTACAGTATAGTATATGTTACAGTCTATGTTACAGTATAGTATATGTTACAGTCTATGGTACAGTATAGTAAATGTTACAGTCTATGGTACAGTATAGTATATGTTACAGTCTATGGTACAGTATAGTATATGTTACAGTCTATGGTACAGTATAGTGTATGTATGTTACAGTCTATGATACAGTATAGTATATGTTACAGTCTATGGTACAGTATAGTATATGTTACAGTCTATGGTACAGTATAGTATATGTTACAGTCTATGGTACAGTATAGTATATAGTATATGTTACAGTCTATGGTACAGTATAGTATATGTTACAGTCTATGGTACAGTATAGTATATGTTACAGTCTATGTTACAGTATAGTATATGTTACAGTCTATGGTACAGTATAGTATATGTTAGTATATGTTACAGTCTATGGTACAGTATAGTATATTATAGTATATATGTTACAGTCTATGGTACAGTATAGTATATGTTACAGTCTATGGTACAGTATAGTATATGTTACAGTCTATGGTACAGTATAGTATATGTTACAGTCTATGGTACAGTATAGTATATGTTACAGTCTATGGTACAGTATAGTATATGTTACAGTCTATGGTACAGTATAGTATATGTTACAGTCTATGTTACAGTATAGTATATGTTACAGTCTATGGTACAGTATAGTATATGTTACAGTCTATGTTAGTATAGTATATGTTAGTCTATGGTACAGTATAGTATATGTTACAGTCTATGTAATGTTACAGTCTATATAGTATATATGTTACAGTCTATGTTACAGTATAGTATATGTTACAGTCTATGGTACAGTATAGTATATGTTACAGTCTATGGTACAGTATAGTATATGTTACAGTCTATGGTACAGTTACAGTCTATGTTACAGTCTATGGTATTATATATATGTTACAGTCTATGGTACAGTACAGTATATGTTACAGTCTATGGTACAGTATAGTATATGTTACAGTCTATGGTACAGTACAGTCTATATGTTACAGTCTATGGTACAGTATAGTATATGTTACAGTCTATGGTACAGTATAGTATATGTTACAGTCTATGGTACAGTATAATTATATGTTACAGTCTATGGTACACAGTATAGTATATGTTACAGTCTATGGTACAGTATAGTATATGTTACAGTCTATAGAACAGTGTAGTATATGTTACAGTCTATGGAACAGTATAATTTATGTTACAGTCTATGTTACAGTATAGTATATGTTACAGTCTATGGTACAGTATAGTATATGTTACAGTCTATGGTACAGTATAGTATATGTTACAGTCTATGGTACAGTATAGTAAATGTTACAGTCTATGGTACAGTATAGTATATGTTACAGTCTATGGTACAGTATAGTATATGTTACAGTCTATGGTACAGTATAGTATATGTTACAGTCTATGGTACAGTATAGTATATGTTACAGTCTATGTTACAGTACAGTCTATGTTACAGTCTATGGTACAGTACAGTCTATGGTACAGTATAGTATATGTTACAGTCTATGGTACAGTATAGTATATGTTACAGTCTATGGTACAGTATAGTATATGTTACAGTCTATGGTACAGTATAGTATATGTTACAGTCTATGGTACAGTATAGTATATGTTACAGTCTATGTTACAGTATAGTATATGTTACAGTCTATGGTACAGTATAGTATATGTTACAGTCTATGGTACAGTATAGTATATGTTACAGTCTATGGTACAGTATAGTATATGTTACAGTCTATGGTACAGTATAGTATATGTTACAGTCTATGGTACAGTACAGTATATGTTACAGTCTATGGTACAGTATAGTATATGTTACAGTCTATGGTACAGTATAGTATATGTTACAGTCTATGGTACAGTATAGTATATGTTACAGTCTATGGTACAGTATAGTATATGTTACAGTCTATGTTACAGTATAGTATATGTTACAGTCTATGGTACAGTATAGTATAGTATATGTTACAGTCTATGTTACAGTACAGTATATGTTACAGTCTATGGTACAGTATAGTATATGTTACAGTCTATGGTACAGTACAGTATATGTTACAGTCTATGGTACAGTATAGTATATGTTACAGTCTATGGTACAGTATAGTATATGTTACAGTCTATGGTACAGTCTATGGTACAGTATATATGTTACAGTCTATGGTACAGTATAGTATATGTTACAGTCTATGGTACAGTATAGTATATGTTACAGTCTATGTTACAGTATAGTATATGTTACAGTCTATGGTACAGTATAATTACAGTATAGTATTACAGTCTATGTTACAGTATAGTATATGTTACAGTCTATGGTACAGTATAGTAAATGTTACAGTCTATGGTACAGTATAGTATATGTTACAGTCTATGGTACAGTATAGTATATGTTACAGTCTATGGTACAGTATAGTATGTTACAGTCTATGGTACAGTATAGTATATGTTACAGTCTATGGTACAGTATAGTATATGTTACAGTCTATGGTACAGTATAGTATATGTTACAGTCTATGTTACAGTCTATGGTACAGTATAGTATATGTTACAGTCTATGGTACAGTATAGTATATGTTACAGTCTATGTTACAGTCTATGGTACAGTACAGTCTATGGTACAGTATAGTATATGTTACAGTCTATGTTACAGTACAGTATATGTTACAGTCTATGGTACAGTATAGTATATGTTACAGTCTATGGTACAGTCTATGTTACAGTAGTACAGTATGTTACAGTCTATGGTACAGTACAGTATATGTTACAGTCTATGGTACAGTACAGTATATGTTACAGTCTATGGTACAGTACAGTATATGTTACAGTCTATGGTACAGTATAGTATATGTTACAGTCTATGGTACAGTATAGTATATGTTACAGTCTATGGTACAGTACAGTATATGTTACAGTCTATGGTACAGTATAGTATATGTTACAGTCTATGGTACAGTATAGTATATGTTACAGTCTATGGTACAGTACAGTCTATGGTACAGTATAGTATATGTTACAGTCTATGGTACAGTATAGTATATGTTACAGTCTATGGTACAGTATAGTATATGTTACAGTCTATGTTACACGTTTGCTTGTTATGCTTTGTATATGGTTATTATGGCAAGTAATACATTCCTAGTTTTATAGTTCATTCCTATCGTATCAAGATATGTATAAAACGTATGATAGGTCGCAAAATCAATCATGGATGTGAGAAATGTACGTTGTGATTTTACAGATTTGAAATTATAGGATACTTGAAGCGATTTCTGACCTTTTTACGCCGTCTTAATTATCTGTGTCTGTTAAAGAGGGATAGAATTCGTAATTTTAAAACTGTGCTATGTACAGTGAGTGAGTGAATTTAGTTTTACGCCGCACTTAGCAATGTTCCAGTTCTATGGCGGCGGTCTGAAAATAATCGAGTCTGGACCAGACAATCCAGTGATCAACAGCATGAGCATCGATCTACGCAGTTGGAATATGATGCCATGTGTCAACCAAGTCAACCTGACCACCCGATCCTGTTAGTCGCCTCTTACAAGCAAGGGTTACTGAAGACCAATTCTAACCCGGACCTTCACGGGTAGACAAGCATGGTTTACTGAAGACCAATTCTAACCCGGACCTTCACGGGTAGACAAGCATGGTTTACTGAAGACCAATTCTAACCCGGATCTTCACAGGTAGACAAGCATGGTTTACTGAAGACCAATTCTAACCCGGACCTTCACGGGTAGACAAGCATGGTTTACTGAGGACCAATTCTAACCCGGATCTTCACAGGTAGACAAGCATGGGTTACTGAAGACCAATTCTAACCCGGACCTTCACGGGTAGACAAGCATGGTTTACTGAAGACCAATTCTAACCCGGATCTTCACGGGTAGACAAGCATGGGTTACTGAAGACCAATTCTAACCCGGATCTTCACAGGTAGACAAGCATGGGTTACTGAAGACCAATTCTAACCCGGACCTTCACGGGTAGACAAGCATGGTTTACTGAAGACCAATTCTAACCCGGACCTTCACGGGTAGACAAGCATGGTTTACTGAAGACCAATTCTAACCCGGACCTTCACGGGTAGACAAGCATGGTTTACTGAAGACCAATTCTAACCCGGATCTTCACGGGTACTATTGCTACAGAGGCAGTGACATACATTGCATTTCATGGGTATATACATAACAATGGACTTGTACAGCGCCTAGTTTCCACATAGGTTGCTCAATGGCCCTGATCATTTTTACCCCGGATAACTGAAGCTGCCTGTTAGGCGCTAGAAGGTTAATAGTCATCCCACCGGGTACCCATTTTCTGCTGGGAGAACAGTGGCAATTTTGAACAAACTCACTTGCCTAAGGTGAGACCACGTATATTACATGTGCTTGGTATGGGGCAGGACCCAAGTCCTAGAAACTCAGGAGTCAAGCTGCCAATCAGGTCACTCTTTAACAGCCATGCATGTTATTAGCTTTTTCATCACCTGGATATTTTCTTCTTTCGTAAGGATGCGGAAGTTATATCTTTAGTATCCTCTATAATCAACGTAATGGAGTTTTGCTTTCACCTACCAACATCATTTATCTATGTTTCCGGAATTTCTGTTTTCAGTATTCAGTGCTTTAAATATCTTGTCAGAATATGTGGGAATGTGTTGCAAAAAATTGTGTTTAAAACAAAGATTATTTGACAACTCTTGTGTTTTATGTACCACATACTCCACTTTGATTTCTTTTTATAGTTAATGAAACATATAAACTTAATTTTTCGACTTTAACTATCATCAAATGCAATCTTTTATTGAGAATGAGTGTACATTAAAATATTGATGTATCCTCGCATGCAATAATTACAAAACCAATTTCATAACAAATTAACATGATCACCAAATAAAGAGAAAAGACGTATGTGTATTCCAGGTGAGATATTAACTGAAGCGGCCTGATTCGGTAATAACGTGAAGAATATAAGAACACAAGATCTACCGTTATATGGCACTGCATTGTCTGAAAGAGTGAGTGAGTGAGTTCAGTTTTACGCCAATTTTAACAATATTCCAGCTATATCACGGCGGGGACACCAGAAATGGGCTTCACATTGTACCCATGTGGGGAATCGAACCCGGGTCTTCCGCGTGACGAGCGAAAGTTTTAACCACTAGCCTACCCCACCGTCCTGTCTGAAAGAGATGATGGTTACCTTGAAGGCTGGTGAATTGGGCATTCCATAACAAGAAGACACCTCATGAATGTTTATACATCACTTTGCTTTTTATTTACAATATATGTACACTTGGGTATTAATATTGTAGAATACATTTACAGATATTCATTGATCAACAAGCAAAAAGCATCCACACTGAAAACAAAACAATTATCACAATCTGTATAGTTAGTAATGTCATACTAATTTGAAAACCTCACACCAGACCCTATGTGATGAGACATCTTTGGCACTATTGTATTGATACTGTAGATCCCTCAAACCATGAGTATTAAACATTTAAACCGTTGCCCTTTTGTTTGAAACTGGTTATTAATTAACAGAAATGTCCAACTTTGTGATCATTAAACCTTTTTGCCGTCATTGATCGTGCAACCTGATGAAACATGTCTGTCGCGAGCAAATCTGCAGCTATTTGATTACAGCTAAAAAATAGGGAACCAACCATTTGATATAAAAAGAAAACCCCCCATATATTTCCCTGAACATCTGTTATGTGCTGAAAATGAATGTTGAAAAAACCCATGTATAATGATTATTCATCTGGGTTCAAGCGTTATGTGAGATTTGGGTGTTGAATTGCAGGTGCATCAAAATCAGTGTGAAAATCTCAGTGTCATCCAATCATACACTCCTTACAAAATTAGTCAGATCACAGATCTTCTCTTAACAATATAGCATCTTTCATCAATGCAGGCAAATCAAGGTCACATCACTCTGGAATATAAATGCATCTTCTCTTAAAGGCCACAAAGTGCAATGTAAATTGTGTTTAATGGTGTGTCAATACAAGCCTGAGCCTGGCGTAGACACCACTCTACCACAGGCCCTCGTGTGTTTGTGAGGATTATAGATTTTTAAAAAATATAAAAAATTTGAGATGACCCCCGACTCGAAATGCTTCACAGTACAATACATTATGTCATAATGAGTCGGGGGTCATCTCAATTTTTCTTTCAACATCTTTAATCCTCGCAAAGACACGAGTGCCTGTGCACCCTACCACAGCAGACACTGCTCGGTGTCTAGTCCTAGAGCCTGCATGCCTTGTAGCAACTAGTGGAACATATCAACAGCTGTTTTGTACATTTCAACAGCAGTCAACTCAGTGTATAACATATAGTCCGTCCCACCGTCCTTGACGGTCTATTTTTGTGAAGGACGGTCTATTAAATAAGTAAGGCTGTCCATTGGTCAAGGGAAATGTTTGAAAAATAAACTTAACATGGTTTGAACTTCATGTTGAACATCGTTTTCCTTCAAGTTTTCATTTGAACATTTGCTGATTTTTTGATTGTTTTAGTTTTTGGGACTGGCTGTGTTGGCTAGAATGGACTTTACCTGGTGCAGCCCTAGCTGCTCCCTTTACGATCGTTAGGGTTAGGCACCCTTTATGATCCTTAGGGTTAGGCACCCTTTATGATCCTTAGGGTTAAGGGTTAGGGTTAGGTAACCCCAGCAGCGCTAATTATTAATCTGAAAAAGTGCGCCCGGTAAAGTGCAGTACTCCCACTGCAAGAGGAACATTCCAGAATGGGTGTGTATTAGAATTGGATTTATCTGCCCTTGCTGTGCACATACACATGGCAAGCCTACTGTTTGATAAGTTTTAGATTGGAAGGTTTCTTGAGGGCTTGATGTGACAGGGTGTTTCTCACCTACTTACCCTGTACAGTTTGGATTCCAATATGGAAACACCAAATACCTTCCACCTCCACCAGTCTAATGTCACGAAAAGTCATAATCTCTATCAAGACATTCAACACTGAAACTATTCTGATCATTCCTGAGTGCATTCGATACAATAATGGAACCATGTTAATTACTGCCACTTGCCTCTTATTGGAACCAATGTGTTGAATTTTCGATCGTAAACTTAAAATTGTGTTTTTCGATCTACTTTTTGATTGTTCATTGATCTTGCATGTATGTTTCCTGATTCCACAATTTAGTTCTGTGTGTTCTGATATCTGGAATAATATCTGTGGTTCAGTTTCGAAATGAGCTTGTAACAACGGCAAAGCCATCCCCTGGTGAACGACCAGGACATTTTATACTCAATGCCTGATGCTGTCCACTGACGGAAAACAGCTTCGATATTTCAGTGCAGCAGTTCTTGACACGTGACTCTAATACTCTGGGTTTGCCTGACTAGGGTTTCACAGAGTCTTCATTAATCAGAGGTAAACGCCTGCAGTCCTGTGATGGCTCGGCCGAGAATCAGTGCATGGATGTCGTGTGTGCCTGGAAAGAAGAGATAGCGTGAGAGTCAACTAAGTGAGACGGATTGTACACTGCTTTAGCAGTACTCCAGTAGTAGTATAGGTCCTAGGGTACGGTGCAACTCAACATTAGCCATCATTTTCACCCCGCTGCTTAGCAACAGCTTAGCATTGCTACATTTGCAATGCTTTGTTAAGCAGTTGCTTGATGTTCCACCAGTTACCCTGTTTGTAGTGGGGGGTGCTGGAGCTGATCAATTGGGGTGAAAATGATTAATAAATGGTGGGTTGCAGCCATACCCCAGTACCTATACCACTCCAATTCTATCACAGCATGCCAAGTTCTGGTGGGAGGACATCTTGAAGTGATGTTGGTCTCAGACGTTTACCATTCTGGTGAAACCCACAAGCACGGGTATAGTGCTGACACACATAGAACCATAATCATGGTGTCTTGTGTGTGTGTTGGCTGACTAAAGGACTGACTGACTGACTGAGTATGGTTTTACGCCGTTTTTAGCAATATTCCAGCCACATCACGGCGGGGGACACCAGAAATGGGCTTCACATTGTACCCATGTGGGGATTCGAACCCGGGTCTTCGGCGTGACGAGCCAACGCTTTAACCACTAGACTACCCCACCGCCCCTCTGACTAAAGGAAATATTAACACTACCGGCATGTTTAACATATGCAATCTAATACAAATATTGAAACTAGAATTAAAAACAACTGCTTTTTGGACAATGATTGATGATATTGGTTTAATATGTGGATGAGGGATTTTTTAGAATCAATGGTAAAGCTTTTGAGGGATTTCCAGTTTGGTTAAGAGAATGTGTGACCACAGTCATACAGCCATTTCTGGTCCAGGCCGACACAGGCATCAGGGTCACTGTCAGTATTGTCTGCAGGTTCGTTGATGGCAGACATGTTCATGACCTGATATTAAATATCCTGCCCCTCTGTAAAAGATCACTAATATGTTTTCTATGTTGAACAAGTGTATCATCATGACATTACATGTAATTTGAGCCTAAATGCATACAAATAATGAATTTAACGATTTCACCCCAAAACATACATCTGAGCTACTAAATAACGTACAGGTTATGTAGTGTTGAGTCTGAAGTGTTCAAGATGTAGGTTACAGTGTGAGCAATTATCACCCAACATCCCTGCCAATATAGTCTGCTCACCTTCGTACGTGTTAACCGACTCGAGATTCATGACGTGTCTGATGACGTGGTACTCGTCAGAGATGCCATTTCCCCCTAACATGTCCCGAGAGTTCCTTGCAATCTCCAGAGCTTTGCCACAGGAGTTCCTCTTGATCAGGGAAATCATCTCTGGAGTAGCTCTGGAACACGATACCCAAAAACGTTGTGGGTAAATAGCAGCATTGTGTATCACATCTGTCAAGTATATGACCTCATTTTGGGCATATGTTTTTATATATATACAAGCTATGTCAAATCACAATGAGTGTCCATTTCTTCTATGTATTAGACAATATGACACAAAATAAGTACCCTCCACTGATCATTTGATGGGATCATGGTTATCACTGGAAACAGGTGTGTAGTAACATGATTACCTCCCTTGATCCTTCAGTCGCCCAACTTGGAGACATGACTGAAGACCGATGGAAATTTCTGTCAACATGTCTGCCATTTTCTTCTGAGGTAGTTGGTTCTTGGCCAGGGGTTTGCCAAACTGCTTCCTGAAACATACCATGCTGGACTTGTGTTGGGGGTACAGTTGGGTTTGATAATAGTTGTGTTTCCTTTACGAAACAGTTGGATTTGTAGAACAGCCATCTCTGTGTCACAACAAATATTTTACGGTAGTTATGACCCCAAAATACTTTGGAAAAAGGATCCTTGACATAAAACAAAATTCCTGCAAATCTGATATGACTTGCATAAGGACATATGTATGAGTTTGGCTGTTTTAGTCAGATTCCAGTGATAACTGGGCAGTGGACAATAGGCTTCACACACTGGACTAGAACCTGGACCTACAGTGTGACAAACAAACCACAAGGCTAACCCCGCCTAAATTCATACCAATACCCAACAACAGACTATAACAGATATTTATCAGTTTTTCTTATGTTGCACATGTTCTCAATGACTCAAGTGTAACCAGGTTCCCCACCCACCTGTCAAGCGTGTACTGTCTGCCTGTCTCCCCACGGTGACCCACCTGTCAAGCGTGTACTGTCTGGCTGTCTCCCCACGGTCACCCACCTGTCAAGCGTGTACTGTCTGGCTGTCTCCCCACGGTGACCCACCTGTCAAGCGTGTACTGTCTGGCTGTCTCCCCACGGTCACCCACCTGTCAAGCGTGTACTGTGACCCACCTGTCAAGCGTGTACTGTGACCCACCTGTCAAGCGTGTACTGTCTGGCTGTCTCCCCACGGTCACCCACCTGTCAAGCGTGTACTGTCTGGCTGTCTCCCCACGGTGACCCACCTGTCAAGCGTGTACTGTCTGGCTGTCTCCCCACGGTCACCCACCTGTCAAGCGTGTACTGTGACCCACCTGTCAAGCGTGTACTGTCTGGCTGTCTCCAAACAAAACTCTGCAGCTCCAAGACTTCCCCATGCAATTCCAAACCTTGCATTGTTCAGGCAGCCAAACGGACCCTAAACACACAAAACCATCTCTGTTTGTATTGACGACATTATTATTCATAGCACATTTCTTCAACATAACTTACCATGTATATAAACCATGTAAACGGTGGCACCAGTGATCACCACATCATCCAGATATAATAACACAGGATTTATCAACATGTTTCTCACAATAATAAATGATGAACAGAATGCATGTTACATATGTTATATTTGGGATTACACTTTCTTAGCAAAGAACAAATTCTAGTACTTTTTGGGTTGACTCCCATCCGGGATTCGAACCCACACCGTCAAGAGTCAGGCACCTAATCGCCAGCACATAAAGTCAGCCACCTAAACCGCTCAGCCACGACTTAAAAAAAATGGAAGTTGGACAACTGGTAGTCTAGACTGCGGACGTTGTGTAGCCCTTTCTAAATGGCATTGTGTAATCATCGCTTTCGGCCATGGGAGCCAGGCCAATTTACACTTATCAGAAGGGTACATAAAGTCCTTAGTGTCAGTAAACCCAGCCGTCCTAAAAGTGTTTTAACGTCTTATTCAAGTTGATTGCACTGCTATAGTAAATGCATGTATATGTGTGTCAGTGTGGCAGGTTCTGCAGTCAGGACCATGTGAGGTTACCATGACACAGAGTACTAACTATGAGCACACTGGTCCATCTTTATCCCCTTAATGCAAAACACCAGTACCTCAGTACCAACAAGTACCACATTTAACATCTATTGGTGTGATGTGCTCAGAGGATTGAACCACTGACTTTCTTCTCTCCAGTGTTCTATCCACTAGAATATGGAGGGTACCATAAGTGAGTGAGTGAGTTTAGGTTTATGCCGCATCTAGCGATGTTCCGGCAATAGAGGACTCCATCTATGGGCTTCACACATTGTACTCATGTGGCGAATCAAACCCGTGTCTTCGGTGTGATGAGCAAATGCTTTAACCACTAGGCTACCCAACAGCCCCAGAGGAGACCATGAAACAAGCAATAGTTTATCTATGCCTACTGGGATCATACCCCAAGTCCGCTGGCTGCAGGAAGCAGGTTTTCCTCTGGGATCTCCACGTCCTCCATTACAATCTGTCCAGTGATACTGGCTCGCAGTGAGAACTTGCCCTCAATCTTAGGGGTAGATAACCCTTTCATCCCCTTCTCCAAGATGAATCCTCGAATCTTGTTATTGACATCACTCTTCGCCCAGACAACGAACACATCAGCAATTGGGGAGTTGGTGATCCTGTAGAATACATGTAGGAAAACCATGACTCAGGAAAAAGGAAATGTTTGGATCTTTAAGATATAACAGTATAACAAAGGTGTTCATTTAATAACTTAAACATAACATTCAGTATCAGCATTAACTGCCCAATGCACATCATAAGCTTTTCAGTGAGTAGGATTATGACACGTTTAGCAAGATTCCAGCCATATCATTTGGATCGTTGGATTGTCCCCCCTTATTGTTTCCATGTCAAGAATCAAACCTTGGCCTTTGTTAAATAAGTCAGAGCTTTTACCATTAGGGTAACCCACTGCCCCAGTGACTTTGGGAAGAACTACTCACAGCCATTGTTTCTTAGCCAAGCAGTTCAGTTATATCACTGAATAACATCTGTGAGAACATGATTTGCTGTACAAGCTTAACTCATGGAACTGCTACTGGCATCTAGATATAGGTTGGGAATGATATCTAACGATTAACTATCTCCAGTGCTTAGGGTCCAGTCAGGTTTGGAAATAAATTCAGTTCACAGCCGTGTTTATAATTCCAAAACATGATACAGTCTCTGGAATTTGGAACATGAAAACACTGATTCCACAATTCTCATTTACAAGGATTACACTGCCAAAGAATTTACTGACTCGCTACAATTTGTCCTTTCTTTGGTTTGTTTAGTTCTGCAAGTATTTCCCTATGAAGAGTTGACAAAAAACGCCACATGTCCAGGTTAACTATGGTTGACAGCTGGAGACTAAGACCAGTGATGCTGACATACTGGTGACCTACCATGACTTGGAGCCATTCAACACGAAGGTCTTCTTGGAGGAGTTGTATTTAGCATTGGTCTCCATTGAAGATGGATCACTTCCATGATTGGGTTCCGTCAAACCAAAGGCACCAATCAGCTCACCCCTGGCTGAACAGCAAACACAAAGGTCCTACCTTGTCAAATACACTTTACAGTTATAAGCCTTAAGCAGTGATACATGATCAAGAGTGAACAAAAACATACCATTGTTTTCCAAGCTGAAGGCAGCAATGTCCAAGATAATTCACAAGTGATTGTAAATATTTGAGTCTGGGTCAGATAAACAAGGAACTGACAGTTATAACATGCATAACTGACATCAAGGTCAATGACCTACATAGTCTGTGTACGATGACTATCAACCAGGTCACATGTGAAGACACGCATGACGTATGTCTTGGGTCCGCATTTGGGTATCTTAAGTGAATTTGGTGCACAATGTAATCACAATACAAAGATGTGCCCAGTAGGGTTAGATGGAGGTAGTGATGCAAGTAATATCCATCACAACACAATCATTACCCATGTCAATGGTTCATTGCATGCTCACTAACATTCTCTGCTCCATGGGGATAATACAATTCTAGATGTGCTGGGATATCCTTGCATATAAACTGCTGCTCACATGTGCTACTCTCAGTTATTCTGTAGACTTGTTTCAAAGGATTGAGATACAGATAAAGTTACTATGTCTTCACTGACAAAAGTTGGTACCTAGTTTAGGAATATATTTCTGCCTCTGCTCCTCGGTGCCGTATGCATAGATAGGCCACATGACCAGACTGGACTGAACACTCATGGCTGACCGGTAGCTGCTGTCCACCCTGTCACAACACAAAGGTCAATGTACCAGCAGTGAACCTGGAGAGAGAAATGACGTCGTTGTCCTTTCAATGCTAAAAGTGTACCCAGTGGTACATTGAAGGAAAACAGAACTTGAAAGACCCAACACCCCATTTAGTCACCTCTTATATCCAGCAACAAGTTACTGATGATCTTTGCTCTAAACAACAAGCAATGTTAGATAGAGTTAGAACTTATCAGTTGAATGTCGAGGTCTTGTCAAACCTATCACACACAATGTACCCACCTCTCCAGTTCTCTGGCCAGGAGTCCGTACCCCACGGAGGAGAGCCCAGCACAGCCGTAGCCCTGTATGGTGGGGCCCAGTACCCCCAGCTCCCCCATCTCTCGCATGATGGCGGGGTCAAACACTGCATGATGGAAATACACAGGATTCACCATACACAGGATTCACCATACACAGGATTCACCATACACAGGATTTATTAACAAACTGACAGTAGGGGAAGGTTTATTCTACAAATAACAGTGGATAAATGAAAATCAGCAGTATCAACAATGATCAAATTATAAGTCGTTTAATTTCATGATTTGCATCACATTGAAATTGATTGTTTTGACTTATTAAATAATTGATTCTGGTCCAGACAAACCAGTGACTAACACATGATATCATGGTCTACTACAGTCACATCATGGTCTACTACAGTCACATCATGGTCTACTACAGTCACATAATCAACCAAACCACTGATTGTCACAGAACCTCGCAACCTGACAATGATGCACACTGAGGTGGCTATTGACAAACAAATGTTGCTGGGGATATTTTCTAATTAGAATCAAGTTTCTGTCATGTTTCTGAACAGATAATGAAACGAACAACCTTCCATGGTTACTGACATTTGAAATGTCACTGCTCAGACTCAAAGACTACTAATACCACTCATGATGTGTTCTGAGTGTTAATGAACCTGTGAAGATCCGGGTTAAAATTATCTTCAGTAACCCATGCTTGTCGTAAGAGGCGACTAACGGGATCAGGTGGTCATTGTATCCCAATTGCGTAGATTGGTGCTCATGCTGTCAATCACAGGATTGTGTGGTCCAGATTGATTATTTACAGACTGCGACATATAGCTGGATTATTGCTGAGTCAGCATAAAACAACAAACCAAAATCTGAGTGTTAAACCCCTGTACAGCTGAAGTCGGTAGACTGCAGTCAGTGGCAGTCTGGATGTGAGACACTAGCTCTGGTTCCAGTCACAGACTGTGTCATACCTTCATTTCTGTTAGCAAGGAGGATTCTGGGCATAAGTTTTTCCTGGCAATAGGATCGGAACTGGTCACGGACAATTATTTCCTCCTCCGTTAAAAGGCTGTTGAGGTTGAGAGCATCACGCCAGTCAAAAACAGCTGAATGTGAAAACATAAAGACATAATTGAAACCTGGTAAATTCAACTGACATTCTTCAGCTATCACAATATTGAAAATTTTCATTATTGATTATTTATTTCACAAGTTGTCCTTCCCCATGATGAATTCTCAAGAGATCAAAGGTGAGTATTATCCATCTTAAAACCTTCAGTAGAGATTTCTATCATGGTAGAAAATTTCTCAATCTATAACAGGTGACCAGAAAGAGAATGATTCCAGTTGGGTGTCAGGTGATCATCCACTGACATCCAGGGCAAGAAGCATGTTTTGCATGTGCTTCCAGTAACTGCAAACAACAATAACTGCTGGAGCTGGAATGTGTTTGGGTGAGTTGTTACAAGAGGCTGGAAACTTTGTTCCAGTTTGTTTCCACTCCAGACTCGAAAGACATAACATGAGATGGGATAAATTGGAAATGTCATTGAAGATACTTATCAGAGATGTTCATGATATTGTCACAGGTGATCATGGTTATTGGGTACAGCAAACTACAATATATCTTTGCATTAATCACTGTATTAGAAATGTGATTACCTTTGCTTTTGCTTGATTTGTCATCGTTGTGAAGTTGCTCTGACAGTGTCAAGGTCATTCAACAGTTTAAAAGGTGCATGAGGTGCATCATAGTGCTTTCAATCACCTCTATCAATCATTGTCTTCCTCACAAATAATAGAAACTGCAATGCCCAATCATTTTCTGAACAAAAACAGTTATGGCCAAAAGAAAAATCTGGTCATAAAATCTTTGCCATTAGTGATTTGATGAAAATATGTTGCGTTTTGGTATTCTTTTTCCATTTTTTATTGTTTTCGGGGGGGGGGGTTCTAACTGAAAGGAAATTTGCTTTATCAAGAGAAACAAATCAGATCATAAAGTTGTTAATGATGCAGATATATGGTAGTGAATATTGATTTCTAAATGGCATCATTGTTGGTATTTCATGATAAAACTCTGTCTAAACAAAGAGATAATGATAAAATGTAATTGAATATACCTGCTATTTCAAACACATACTTTTTAAAAGCAGCATGAAACTGTGACATGTAGCATTCCCATAGAGTAATGAAGAAACAGGTGTTTTACAAACACTCATTTGGGCATATACATCATATTTTTAGACTATATGGACCCACAAAAGTATTTGTGAAGTTAACAATTGTGTTCAGAGGAAACAACTGAAATTTTTAAAATAAATTTCAGTCTGTTCCACATAAATGCTTTTATGAGTTTTGGATCTTTGCACTTCTGATAAGATAAACAAATAAAAAAACGAAATTATCACAGTTGTGATCTCACTTTATCATATGTGAGCTATCTGCGCCTGTTGTGTAATCAGTGACCTTGGACGATATTTCCAGCCAATCAGATGCATTTATCAAGCACACACCTCCATGACCCAAACATATGAGAAGTGAAGAGAATATAATTGATTAACACAAGTCAATACATTTGACACTAACAATCGCAAAGAAACAAATGTGTTACTTGATATTTTTGTGATAGAAAACTTGGTTTATGTTTAAACGCTGCTAACTTTGCGAGTCAAGCAAGAACAGGTGGAAAATTATCCGTTCTTGAAACAAAATGGATACTTTCTGCTGCTGCCGCTGTCCCTTGAAATCGTCTCGATCCAGTCCTGGTTAGATATTTACAGAGCGTCTGAGCAGACACATATGATTTGTTCAAAGACATGATGTCAACGTGTTCTCAACCAAATGATGTTTACGAAACACCAGACTAGTCTACATCCGGTATAAATGTCAAGTCAAAACTTCTTACACATATATCCCATACAATGTGTTCTATGAGCGGGGCCTATCTTCGGTGTTAGGAGTTCCACGCGCACCTGTACAAGCTCCTCGCAGCGATAAGGCTGGTCAGTCTCCAAGCTCAGCCTCAGGGTAACTTTTAGGACACCAAAGCTAACGGCATTAATATGAATCCGTTAATGTCGCGGTATTTCATGGTGGACACACTTCATCCAACAAGCGGAGCCATTCTTGTATTTAAATAAAACCCCAAAGCTAATTTATATCTGAGACAAATGTACAATAAAATCAGTATTTATAATAAATTATCTAACAAAAACGTTTTTAGACGTCTATATGAATTAATTATGTTAAAATATATTGTAGACCTAAAGAGCACATGATATTATCAGGGTTGTAGTCAAAAGGGCCAAAGGGCCAAAGAAAAGTCAAAAGGGCCATAGATCAAATTTTAAAAAGTACATACAAACTATATATTGTATATATACAAATACATCACACACAAGCATTGAAAAATATGAACGTTTATAGATTAAAGCGCAATACTAACACTACAACAATATTGTTGACTTGTTGTTTATTTACTGAGTAGATTGTATACCAAGTGGTGAATTATTGATATCACATTATCTTAGATATCAATACGCGGTATTGTGATAGCTTTACATGATTTACTTTATAAACGATCGGATTTATGATATCAATAATCCGTATTGATCACAAATCATATTGATATTCATATGATGGTTTTCATACCAATAAATGCATTTTTTACATATAAAATAGGGATGAAATAACAAGAACGCCTCGTATATAATCAATTACTGCATGAACACGTAGTAGTTACGCAATCTAAAAACAAGATAGACGATTGGCGAGCCTGTGTTGTTTGACAGGTGAATATGTCGAGGGCATAGCCCAAGACACAAATATTCAGCTGTCAATCAACCCTCAATCTTTTTTCAACTGCCCTCCTTCGTCGGGCAGTTAATGGAAGACCTCGGGCTTCTGCAAATGATAATGCCCTCAAAAATAGCATTACCCTTATAATAGTGTTACGCTCGACTGCCATCATGAGAACGTAATTAATGCAAGTAAGATACCTAATAATTCTAAATGATAGTGTTTGACTTGTTTTCCATGACACAGTATCTATGTAACGGTAGGTGGCGGTATGGCGGTTGTTTCTACATACCACGGCACTTTATTCCCGATATTATTGTAGGTATAATTTTGCTAAAATTACAATATTCTCATGAATATTTTAACAGTATAGTATCTTTTGAAATCAAATAAGAAAAATCACACAAGCCTAATGAATGCTAATTTATCTTGGAAATAGACGTGTGCCTGTATTATCCTAAACATTATTACTGAAAATGTCAGCGTTTGAACGGGCCAGCCAAAAGAAGATTCTACTTTATGTCGTCTTGTATCGGTTAAGGCTAGCGGACAATTTATTAATGGCCAATTATATTTCAGAGAAAGGTTTCAGAAGAGTTAGTTCTAAGGCATTCACACATGCAAAAAACAAAATGATAGTATTACTATTTTTGGTAACAGTTTATCTCTCGACTGACGAAATAGATTGAAACTTACATATATTGTTCCAGAGCTTTTTCGTTTTAAGTGATAGTCGGTTTTACAACAACCCAAAATGGCTGACTTGGAACTCGTGTTGAAGGCTGTCGACGATACCGGTGGTATTGACAGTTTAGAACTTGCCACAAAGTTAAATACCGACCACCAGAAGGTTGTTGGCGCGGTAAAGAGTCTACAGTCACAGGAAGATGTAAGTAGTTGTTGTTGTAGTATTTATTTTCAGCGCAAGTGTTCGACAGATTCGTCTGCTAGAAGTGAATGGATGACGAAATCATGTTCCGTATTAATGAACAAGTTTGCAAATAACGGCTCCCAGGCTTTACTCGAGAAACTTGGGAATTAACGGGATAATTCTGCAGCGTAGTTACAATTTGTGTAATGTGTACTATATAAATCCAGTTAAAACGTGACGGTGTCTTTGTTTCAAATCTACCATCTTCTTCCATCAGTCAACATCACCCTAAGGCTAAGGGACCGTTCATAATTTATGGCAAGGGGGTGTGATGAAGATTTTTATGGAGGAGCATGTACAATGTGAATGACCCCCCCTAAAATTTATGTTTAGAGTCAGTGACACCCCCACACACACTGCATGTCATGTACAAAATCAATGACCCCTTTCCTCTTCCCATATTTTTAAGCATATTATATAAGGTTTTGATATTTTTGTGTACAAAATTGCTGACACCCCTCCCCAGTTCTCACATGTACAAAATGGGTGACCCCCTCTTAAAATTATCATCACCCCTCGAGCCATAAATTATGAATGGTCCCAAAGGCACATGAGACGAACTCAGCAGGCATGTTAATATGTTGTATACACTAATATTTGATTCTTTTTCTTTTTTTAAATCGTTTTGAAATGTTATTACGAAACACACACACACACACACACCAATGTCATGCATAGATAGGCCTATCAGGTTTTGTCATTACATATACATTCATAAATTTGTTGACACAAACTGATCTTTCGCTCTATTTGTGAAAATATTTATATGTATCATTTTTGTAAGTTACAGAGTATTTGTATCAGGAATCAGTGTATTTGATGTATTAGTGAAGTGAATCAGCACTGAATTACTCCATACTACAGGATTTGTTGTACTTGCTGCATTGGTGGATTGGTCAACCCTTATTATTTCATACTACAGCAGATATGCGTGAAATGTCTGGAATTATCTCCTTAATTTGTCCACGTCCTGGGCTATATGTTCATGTTGTTTTAATGAATAGTCCCCTTTTACTTTTTGTAAATGTTTGCTGCCACAATGATCAGTTCTTTACATGGTCAATGTTGATTTGTTGTGTGTAGTTTCTGTGATGGATGTTATGTCATCTGACCCCTTGTTGTTATTCTTGCAGCTCATTCAAGTTGAGCAGAGGCAGAGTAAACGATGGGACATAACAGAGGAGGGCAAGGAAGTGGTTGCCAATGGCAGTCACGAGGCCAGAGTGTACAGAGTTGTACCCGACAGTGGAATCACACAAGCAGAAATCATGGTAGTTACCTCTATCCTGGACAAATATTCTCATAAACCTGATTATATGGAACAATATTGATCACATTATTGATTGTGCTGATAAAGGTTTATCAGCACAAAGGTGAAGTGGGTTTTAACATTGTAACTGTGCTTGAGAATATTTAGGACAGACTTGGGTAGCTCAGATTACGGAGGCATGCATGCGTGTGTATATGTATTATGTGCGCTGCTTGTACTATGAAATGATAATTTGAATTAAGAATTAAAAGCGAATATATATTGCATTTTGTGTTCAAATCACTCGAACATGTTGGTTGTGTTATTATTGTTCAGTCTTGATGATGGATAAGATGTACTTATGTTTCAAAAGTTTGGTGTACAATCTCAGATTGCTTGTTCATTATGTGTCATGATCTTAATTTCATCTTTTCAGAGCTCTGTTCCTAATGCCAAGATTGGATTCAGTAAAGCAATGTCTGCCAAGTGGATAAGAATGGACAAAAATGCTGAAGGAGGCCCTAAAGTGTTCAGATCAGTAAGTGTGTCTGGTGATAGTGTAGCTAAAGTGTTCAGATCAGTAAGTGTGTCTGGTGATGGTGTAGCTAAAGTGTTCAGATCAGTAAGTGTGTCTGGTGATAGTGTAGCTAAAGTGTTCAGATCAGTAAGTGTGTCTGGTGATGGTGTAGCTAAAGTGTTCAGATCAGTAAGTGTGTCTGGTGATAGTGTAGCTAAAGTGTTCAGATTAGTACGTGTGTCTGGTGATAGTGTAGCTAAAGTGTTCAGATCAGTAAGTGTGCCTGATGATAGTGTAGCTAAAGTGTTCAGATCAGTAAGTGTGTCTGGTGATAGTGTAGCTAAAGTGTTCAGATCAGTAAGTGTGACTGGTGATAGTGTAGCTAAAGTGTTCAGATCAGTAAAGTGTGTCTGGTGATAGTGTAGCTAAAGTGTTCAGATCAGTAAGTGTGTTTGGTGATGGTGTAGCTAAAGTGTTCAGATCAGTAAGTGTGTCTGGTGGTGATAGTGTAGCTAAAGTGTTCAGGATCAGTAAGTGTGTCTGGTGATAGTGTAGCTAAAGTGTTCAGATCAGTAAGTGTGTCTGGTGATAGTGTAGCTAAAGTGTTCAGATCAGTAAGTGTGACTGGTGATAGTGTAGCTAAAGTGTTCAGATCAGTAAGTGTGTCTGGTGATAGTGTAGCTAAAGTGTTCAGATCAGTAAGTGTGTCTGGTGATAGTGTAGCTAAAGTGTTCAGATCAGTAAGTGTGTCTGGTGATAGTGTAGCTAAAGTGTTCAGATCAGTAAGTGTGTCTGGTGATAGTGTAGCTAAAGTGTTCAGATCAGTAAGTGTGACTGGTGATAGTGTAGCTAAAGTGTTGAGATCAGTAAGTGTGTCTGGTGATGGTGTAGCTAAAGTGTTCAGATCAGTATAGTGTGTCTGGTGATAGTGTAGCTAAAGTGTTCTGATCAATATGTCTAGGATGATACTGTAAGTAAATATTAAGTACTGTTAACAAGGACATCAAAAAGAGATATTTACTAGTTCATCACATGTCAACCCCTGTTGGATGTAGCAGCCTCCATTCTCCTATATAGTAATCGGAATAGAGCAGAAGAAAGTTCAAGAAGTATAAGATGAACTGACAGGAACCAATTCTTTGGCCCTTATGAGGCACTGCTACTGTAATACTATCAACAGCATTATAAAATCCAATAATGCAAATTATTGTCAAAAAAAGGGCACCTACCTTCGTTATAATATTTATGGTTGTATCATGCTGGTCAAGCCTATTGTAGCTCAGGAAGCAAAGTGTTCACAACAATTAGATAACCATTCCAGCTGTTGATACTGAATGTAAGATCTGCCATGGTTGTGTGTTTCTAGGCAGACAGTATAGAGGACAAGGTTCAGTGTAAGATCTGCCATGGTTGTGTGTTTCTAGGCAGACAGTATAGAGGACAAGGTTCAGTGTAAGATCTGCCATGGTTGTGTGTTTCTAGGCAGACAGTATAGAGGACAAGGTTCAGTGTAAGATCTGCCATGGTTGTGTGTTTCTAGGCAGACAGTATAGAGGACAAGGTTCAGTGTAAGATCTGCCATGGTTGTGTGTTTCTAGGCAGACAGTATAGAGGACAAGGTTCAGTGTAAGATCTGCCATGGTTGTGTGTTTCTAGGCAGACAGTATAGAGGACAAGGTTCAGTGTAAGATCTGCCATGGTTGTGTGTTTCTAGGCAGACAGTATAGAGGACAAGGTTCAGTGTAAGATCTGCCATGGTTGTGTGTTTCTAGGCAGACAGTATAGAGGACAAGGTTCAGTGTAAGATCTGCCATGGTTGTGTGTTTCTAGGCAGACAGTATAGAGGACAAGGTTCAGTGTAAGATCTGCCATGGTTGTGTGTTTCTAGGCAGACAGTATAGAGGACAAGGTTCAGTGTAAGATCTGCCATGGTTGTGTGTTTCTAGGCAGACAGTATAGAGGACAAGGTTCAGTGTAAGATCTGCCATGGTTGTGTGTTTCTAGGCAGACAGTATAGAGGACAAGGTTCAGTGTAAGATCTGCCATGGTTGTGTGTTTCTAGGCAGACAGTATAGAGGACAAGGTTCAGTGTAAGATCTGCCATGGTTGTGTGTTTCTAGGCAGACAGTATAGAGGGTACAAGGTTCAGTGTAAGATCTGCCCATGGTTGTGTGTTTCTAGGCAGAGACAAGTATAGAGGACAAGGTTCAGTGTAAGATCTGCCATGGTTGTGTGTTTCTAGGCAGACAGTATAGAGGACAAGGTTCAGTGTAAGATCTGCCATGGTTGTGTGTTTCTAGGCAGACAGTATAGAGGACAAGGTTCAGTGTAAGATCTGCCATGGTTGTGTGTTTCTAGGCAGACAGTATAGAGGACAAGGTTCAGTGTAAGATCTGCCATGGTTGTGTGTTTCTAGGCAGACAGTATAGAGGACAAGGTTCAGTGTAAGATCTGCCATGGTTGTGTGTTTCTAGGCAGACAGACAGTATAGAGGACAAGGTTCAGTGTAAGATCTGCCATGGTTGTGTGTTTCTAGGCAGACAGTATAGAGGACAAGGTTCAGTGTAAGATCTGCCATGGTTGTGTGTTTCTAGGCAGACAGTATAGAGGACAAGGTTCAGCAGTGCCTCGTCAAGATACAGAACCTTCAGCTGGATGACGTCCCTCAGGACCAGCGGGGCTGAACTCAAGAAGAGGAAACTCATCTCAGAAGTGTCAGTTGTCTTCCTCATCAGTCAGAAATAGTTTTTGTTGATATTATCAAGGTGTGTAAGATCTGCCATGTACCTCCCAGTCAGCTTGAGTATTGTTTTATATCCTACTTTGTACAAAATATGCTCAACAAATTATGATGTGATTCCATTCCAAAGGTTGGGCAACATGTTTAAGAGACAGTTGTTCTTTTCTTTATTCAGGAAAGTTACCAGTTATTTCATTTCCAAGGGAGACAAGTTTTCATTGACCGTGTCAAAGGCTGATGTGGACCTCACCCCAGAGATGATCTCGAGGTAGGCTGGAGGGAAGAGGCAGCACAGTGTTACACAGTGGGAGGGAACATTCACTCCATCAGTTAAAACCTCCATATCCAAGAATTGCCTGACAACTCCGAGAATGTTTGACAGTTGCATCTATCAGTGAAGACGTCATGTGAGGCAACATCCTAAGAAGTGTCTATGATATGTTATTAAGTTCAACAAACAGTTTAGAAAAATGGGTTAGGAATAATTTTCTAGTGCCTTTTCCTGGTATTTTATCAATGTCGCCCCTTTTGTTTGTGTCATACCATGAGTTTCTTCCTCCTACAGTGGGTCCTGGAAGACTAAAACATTCAAGCCGTACAACTTTGATGCACTTGGGATCCCACCACCCACCGGACATCTTCACCCTCTCCTCAAAGTGCGGGCTGAGTACCGCCAGATCTTCCTTGAGATGGGGTAAGTCTGGTCAAAGTGCAGGCTGAGTACCACGAGATCTTCCTGGAGATGGGGTAAGTCTGGTCAAAGTGCAGGCTGAGTACCGCCAGATCTTCCTGGAGATGGGGTAAGTCTGATCAAAGTGCAGGCTGAGTACCACGCGAGATCTTCCTGGAGATGGAGTAAGTCTGGTCAAAGTGCAGGCTGAGTACCACGAGATCTTCCTGGAGATGGAGTAAGTCTGGTCAAAGTACAAGCCGACCATTGCCAGATCTTCCTGCAAATGACTCTTTGTCTCTGTGTGTGACTTCATGAAGTTCAGTTGAAACAAACGGGAGTTGATTTGGAATGACATTAATCAAGTTTTATGGGACTGGCAACTGCCAAAGTGTTTTTCCACTGTTCGAAACACAAATTTGTTAAGATTTGAATGCTGTGTCTATTTGTCTGCAGATTTTCCGAGATGCCGACCAACAACTTTGTAGAGAGCAGCTTCTGGAATTTCGATGCTCTCTTCCAGCCCCAGAAGCACCCAGCCCGAGATGCTCACGACACCTTCTTCATATCAGGTGCATGTTGTAGTCATGGTCAAAAAGATTTCTTTCTCTGCTCGAGAACCTGTACGGCATGTAAACTTTTGTGATTGCAGTTTCATTTCAGTTAAGTGAAAGAAAAATAATTCCCCATATAACTAGAACCCTAATTCCTGATTTCAAGTATCACAGCAAGTTTCAAGTACTTAGTTTAGCAGCCGAGAGTCTGACTGAATAGTATTAGTAATGATGCTTTAAGGCTTGCCTGAACATCATCTTCGCTGGAGCCACCACTCAGTGCTTGGACATTCCATGGATATCCTAGCTTGTATATGTCCTTTATAGCTGTAGGACATCTTCATGCCATGTCAAGGTTCAAGGTCATTGTCAAGGCCATAGACTAAAATCAATCCTGAGAAGGATTTATTGTAGGTCAATGAAACCTGGTACATGTGTACTTTAGAGTGTTCCGAAACAGAAAAGGTCACAAGGGGCCAATGGTCACTGTGAAGATCATTCATAACAGTTCTTGTCACATTGTCTGGTGTACAGCATTTCATTCTCACAAAATCTTTGAGGTCAGGGCAGTGCGGTAGCCTAGTGGCTTAAGCATTCGCTCGTCATGCCAAAGACCCAGGTTTGATTCCCCACATGGGTACAATGTGTGAAGCCCATTTCTGGTGTCCCCCGCTGTGACATTGCCAAAAGCAGCGTGAAACTAAACTCACTCACTCACTTTGAGGTCAACTGCAAGCAGATTCTTCAATGAATGTAATCAGTGGGATCAGAAAAAAATATAATTGCAGATATCTGTCTTTTTAGAAGGCACTAAGATGACATGCGATGGAAATGTTTATCATCTTACAGCTTTTAAACAGGACTGCAGAACTACACATGTTCATACTGGTGAAGATCTGAATGATGTTTGTAGGTTTGATTCCCCACATGGGTACAAATTGTGAAGCCCATTTCTGGTGTCCCCCGCTGTGACATTGCCAAAAGCAGCGTGAAACTAAACTCACTCACTCACTTTGAGGTCAACTGCAAGCAGATTCTTCAATGAATGTAATCAGTGGGATCAGAAAAAAATATAATTGCAGATATCTGTCTTTTTAGAAGGCACTAAGATGACATGCGATGGAAATGTTTATCATCTTACAGCTTTTAAACAGGACTGCAGAACTACACATGTTCATACTGGTGAAGATCTGAATGATGTTTGTTGTGTCTGCATCTTGCATATTCTTGACATTATACCAGGTTTTGAGCATGAACAGGAAGAAGGTACAACTTTTATACAGACACAAATTTGACAAACTTACAATCAATATGATTGTGTGTATAACATGGTCTTCCTCAGTTTAAGATCACATCATAGCAAGTGAAAACTTTGTATTTTGCAGACCCAGCAAATGCTCAGATATTTGAGGAGGATTACCGCCAGCGGGTGGAGAAGGTTCATTCTGAAGGAGGATATGGGTCACTGGGGTAATCTGTTTATAAATTTGTCTGTATTTCAACTCTGTACTTAACTGGGGCGGTGGGGTAGCCTAGTGGTTAAAGCGTTTGCTCGTCACGCCGAAGACCCAGGTTCGAATCCCCACATGGGTACAATGTGTGAAGCCCATTTCTGGTGTCCCCCGCCGTGATGTTGCTGGAATATTGCTAAAAGCGGCGTAAAACCAAACTCAGTCAGTCAGTCTGTACTTAACTGTAGAATCTGCCGTCACATTGGAGACAATTTCTCCATAATCAGAACATTATTTTCGCAGTTCTCTAAATGTTGTCGGTCAACCCGTGAAGATCTGGGTTAGAATTGATCTTCAGTGACCCATGTTTGTCGTAAGAGGCGACCATGGCTTCTCTTTCTCCATGACGTGATATGATTGGGTGCCTGTAGTCATGCTTCTCTATGTCTGTGCAGGTACAAGTGTGAGTGGAAGATCGAGGAAGCCAAGAAGAATCTGTTGCGTACACACACAACGGCGGTCAGTGCACGCATGCTGTACAAGACTGCCCAGTCTGTAGGTATTCCTGGTGTCTGAGTATTGTGACATTGACTGATGAAACTGCCTTTAACAGAGGCATCAAGGATTGTTTTTACTACTGCAATAGTTTCCCTATAAATATGATTATAGTCCCTTGGATCTGTAAGGAAAAGGAAACTGACAATTATTTATAATAGACAATGTTTGGTGCCCAATAGTTTTCAGCTTTGCAGCCTTCAGTCTCTTTGTTATGCCAGGATCTGCTGATTCTGTGTTTGAATCCCAAATTATGACTTGGTTTGCCAGCACCATGCCTGTGTTCTTGGCATACACCTGCATCACCTTGAGTGTCACACTCACATAACAGACCGGTGTTAGATGGGAAATCCTAACAACTATTGTGTAGTATAGTTTATTGACATCATCATGGGGTCATCTTTCCTGAAAGTACTATATCCCTAATGACAGATACAAGGTTGGGAGAATTTAGAATTTAGTTGAGAACACAATAGAACAGATATCATCTGATAATGAGAAAATGACAAGTACAATATTGACTATTATGTGTTTGCCATCCCTCCAGAACACCCTGCCAGTGAAACTCTTCTCCATTGACCGAGTTTTCCGCAACGAGAACCTGGACGCCACCCACCTGGCCGAGTTTCACCAGATAGAGGGCGTGGTGGCAGACAGAGGACTCACACTCGGGGACCTGATGGGAATAATACACGCCTTCTTCCTCAAGCTGGGTCAGTGTCTTGTTCAATACCTGTAGTCAGTTCACTTCATAGCCTGTTACAGTGAGATGATAACTGACAAATGTGATAGCTGATAACAAATGATGTCATGAACAATTAAATTGATTGCTTGTCCTTGTGTGATTCTAGGTCGTGTGGCTTGTTGCTTGATGACTGTTTTGGTTTGTAACTTGCGTCATTGTCCCCTGATGACACTAGAAATTAACTTCACTAAAACACACATAGACATAGGGAATTTAATTAATGCTGAAATCATTTGGCTACGATGAATTGCCGATGATGATGATGAGGTGGCTAGGGAGGGTGATGATGATATTTCGGGGGGGTAGCATGTACAATGTGAATGACCTCACCCCCCCTTTAAAATGTATGTAAAGAGTACATGACACCCCCTGCATGTCATGTATAAAATCAATGACCTCCCAAGTGCATGTGTACAAAATTGATGACCCCCCCCTACCTCCCCAGAACAAATAGGTGACCCCCACCTTTAAATCACCCCGCCTCTCAGCCCACCATATATTATGAACAGTCCCTAAGTGACAGTGTAGGAGGCAGATGTTTATTGGTGGTCAAGCTTATTTCTCATTTTGTTTTACAGGTATCACGAAACTGCGTTTCAAGCCAGCATACAACCCCTACACAGAGCCCAGCATGGAGATCTTCAGCTACCATGAAGGTAACGCCACCCTGAAACAATACTTCAGTGTAAAACTAACATTTCTCTTACCATAATGCTTTTATAGTTTTGTTTGTAACACAACAGATAATAAAGTGCCAACGTTTCTTTATATTCATGTATTGTCTCTAATCTCTTTCGTGCTTGACACCCTGTACATGTCATACCATCAATCCCTACCAAGCACTAGTAAGATAATGATTTCATCTGTTCTACGTCACACATTACAGCTATAGTGATTTGAGATTTTGTGATGTCTTGTAGATAATTTCCATGGTTACCGATGTATTGTGTACAGTGTTAAATTGCTGACTGGGACCACGGAGGTCTAGGCTTGGACACACGGCATTTACAAGTGAGAGAACCCCATGGCCTTGAAACTAGACAGACACATATGCTGAGTGTTGCTTGTTCTGTTTTTGTTAGGCTTGGAGAAGTGGGTGGAGATCGGCAACTCGGGGGTGTTCAGACCGGAGATGCTGCTGCCGATGGGGCTGCCTCCTGATGTCTCCGTCATCGCCTGGGGACTGTCTCTAGAAAGGTAAACAGTGGTGTACTGATATCTTGAAGTTGTCGCTGGGATACAACAATTGTACAAGAGGACAGTTTGAAGGCCGTGTCTCCGTGATGGCTTGTCAGGCTCAGTGTTCAGCATGGTTCTGGTTAATTTGACTTTCTTGCTTGGACAATATATGGATGTACAGCTTCTTTATTACATACCGGGTATCCATATATTGTCATCCTTCCTTATTGATCCTACTTCTAAATGCCTCTCAAAGAAGTTCATTGGATCTTGCTGTCATAAATAATCCTAATTGTTATGATTAACAATGAACATATTTGTTCCAGACCAACAATGATAAAGTATGGCATCAACAACATCCGTGATCTGATTGGACCACGAGTGAATCTTCAGATGGTTCACGACAACCCAATGTGCCGACTAGAGAAATCTCGGACGGCATCCTAGATCACAATGTAATCTATTTAAATCACTTTGGCTGTGCCAATTTTCTGACCCTTATTTGGGGGGCCAGTGTCGGATATCATGGTAAACTTCATCACTTCAGCACCTCGGAGAACACATGAAATCTTTATGTCAATAAAATCTATGCTTCTATGACTAAAGTGTCCTAGTGTTTGTTGATGAATACTTAGCGGCGGTTTAGCTCTGTAATAATTCTCACTAAAAGGATATGTTAATATGTGGAACAATGAGCTGTCATGAACCATTTCACCGATTTTTGTACCTTAAGTCATTAAATGGCCTGGTTACAAGCACAGACTGCTGGGAACCAAATTGGCGATGACCGCCCAAGAACAGTGAATTCTAGCGTTGTCATCCATCAATGTCAGATGATTGGAAAGAGGATGGTTATCAAAATGAGGCTTGATGGCGGTATCCAGTACTTCCTGTTGATATGTTGACCATCGAGTGACCCAGTTAAAGTAATGAGATCCATCTCCAGCCATAAAAAAACCCAACTCCACACCCTAACTGAGCCACCACCAAGGCTTCGCTGTATAGATCATCTCCAGGTGATATGCTTCCTTACAATGTCTCCATATGCGACAATGGGAGTTGGCAACGCATAGAAGATAGCGACCTTCTCTCACCAATGAACTCTACACCATCTGCTCAAGGTTTTCTCGGAGCCTGTGCCCCCCAGATGTTCCTGCATGTGCCTGTCTGTGAGAAATGGTTGTCAGATTGGAAGACATTTCCTCTGACCAGCAGCCTCTTTCTGATGGTCTGCCAGGCCCTGGACTAACATTTACTTTACCAGTGACCACTTGCAAGTTAACAAATAAGTGTGTGATTAATGTTCAAGCTAAAGGTCACATGCAACGTAAAACACAACTTTGCAGATTCTGATACCTTCGCATGGACTGACCGAAACAAATCATCAAAATGCAAATTCAACTTATAAAGTTGAAAAATAACCCGATGAAAAAAAACGCGAAATCGGAGTTCAAACGATTCACTAATTTCCCCGACTTTTCGGGAAAACTGGTTTCAACAGCTGGGCTGCGCTCATAGCACATGCGCAGTGAAATAGGTTCAGCAACTTGGAAGCAGGCTGTCCGGTGAATACTCGGAGAAGGCTTTGGTGTGAGCTATTTTCCTAATGTTTTGTTGATATCTCACAGGCGCGAGCTTTTATATGTTATGACAGTAAATAAACTGTTTATATAATTTCATTTGTCTATTTCATCACACTTTCTTCTTACCGAGTCACTTTCTCAGTTCGATACTTAAAAGCAATGTCATTATTTAGCGTTGACAGAATTTCTAACTGTGATATAGATATGTCGTTGTCACAGACAAAACTCAATGTCTTGTTTTATTGACACCTGTGTGTCTGCCTGCCTGTCTGCTAATGACAATATTCAATACACAACTGCGATCACTGACCACATGCAATTTGAACTTAACACCAATCAGGCTATACACCATAAAAAAACGCATTGATTTATGGCCCGAGTTCGGTCTCTGTCACATTATGTAATTACACAGACAGGCAGGTGTGATACTTGAACACATGACATGTTATGATGTCTGTTGATTGCAAAATGTTATACACAAAAAGGAGCATGTATTTACAAAACCCAACATCTCTATATGTACACACACAATGAGCCGTGAGGGCATCTGCAAATGAACCAGCCATTACACTTGAGTGCACACCCACCAGCTCTGACTGGGTTCGGTATCCCCGCTGCTTCGCTTTTTGGGAAGTAAACCCAAGTACACAATATTGCACTTTTGATTTGCGATTGTACGCTTATAATTTTGTTTATATGTTTTTTCATAACCAGCAATGTATATTATATGTTATGAATAAGTGATAATTGTGTTTTAATTATGTTTGATTTTTTGGTTGCATGTGACCTTTAACAGCTACTAGTATTTCAAGACACGACATCCCTGTGTCATGCCTCATAATAACCAACCATCATGTACTTTCTGAAAGTCTTTCCATGTCGAGAAAAGTTCAGTTTTAGTACTGTCATCTGCTAAACCAGTGCACATACTGCAAATATCAAATTTTATACCTCAATGTGCTTGGCGCATTCACAGCAAATGAACTATTGTGTTAATTGTGTTAAGCATGTTTCACATGAGCATTCCTACACTAAGGTATGATTGCCTGTATTTATATAATGGCAGAAGCAACTTAACAACTCAACAGAGGATGAAAATATGATCCACTATACTATATGCCATAGCTCCTATAGTTGTCCACTGACAACACAGTCGGGAACAAAAATACAACTAATATAGCTATTGTGTATATACATCTGATTTGTGCCAGAACTGGTGGACACCCTGTCAGTTGTTGTACTACTCACCACAGCCACATGTTGTATGGTAGTTATGGTAAGCTTAAATACAGGCAGTAAATCATATGTACAGTACACGTGCAGGTAGCCGAGAGCCGCGATGCGGTCCTATACAGTCAAGACATGACCCTGCACTGTATAGGACCGCATCGCGGCTCTCGGCCAACGTGCAGGCAAAGTTAAACTTAAAAATGATGTCAAACCCCATTTCATCTCACCTCACCAATTCTAATGCTTGAAAACAGAAACTCTTTAACTCTCTTCTCTTATACCAAAATAAGGTTTAATTTGCGTTCTCAAATTTTACAATCAGTTTCGACGTACACATGACTGACGTACTGACACCGAGTTTGCTGTAGAGCGTAGGGTTCACTAGGCCCTTATTCAACGCGCTGTACGGAGTTTGTAATACGGAAGTTGGAGAAGAGTCGTTCCCCTTTGAAAACGCTTCCTTAGAAACAGCGAGTGGTAAGACACGTAGATGATCCAAGCTCGCTTTTCTACATTCATTTTGAATAAACACAAGTAAATGTTTCACAATCTAATTAACATTTTGGTGATACATTATACATGCACCAGTTATGTGTGCTTAATCGAAATACAATCAAGCTATTATTATGATACTTGTAGTCATGATAAGACGCACCTGCACTTTCGTGGGTATCGGTATCCCTTACTCAAAACAAATGGCAGTGAAAGGCTACTGAGGAATACGGTTTAGCTTTCTATTGCTGCCTCAAGGTGTTATCAGTCCTTCTGGATATGTTGTTATATAGTCTAGTGAATGAGTGAGTTTAGTTTTACGCCGCACTCAGCAATATTCCAGCTATGGCGGCGTCTAGTGAATGACAGTATGGTACATATCAATGAATACCCTGTATCCAACAATAAAGTTCTGCTGTGTGTTTTTCTGTACCAATCACTAGAAAAAGGTTGTTTAAGAAACTATCATGCTCTATGTCATCTTTACAGGAGGCATAACAGTAGGAGGAACAGCACTTTTGTAGATTATTGGCATTAACATAAAATTTCAACTTCAATTTCATAAATAATTCTTTCACTTAAGTAAGATCAGATAAATGAAGTGAAAGCTAAAAGCCAATTAAAAAGATGTACAGAGACCATTGATTCAGCTGTCAACTTTGTTGTCTCTGTGTGGCATAAAGAACGGTACACCATGGGTCAGAATATCCTCATGATAAAACCTTTCACATGTGTAAGAAGCCATAAATTTTCCATATTAGGACGCAATGAATTATTTTTTAGGCGTTAACCCAAGTATTTTAAGGTGAGGATGGAGATATATATATATATTAGGTTCTTTCAAAAGCATCTTCATACAAGGCATTTGTAGACAAATGAATTTTAGGTTGGAGTGTGTGTGTGATTGTATTCATCATGTAAAGAAAGAGGGGAGGACATAGTTGTCTTCACCAGTAGGTACAGCCAGTAATGCTGTGTAAGATTCATAAAACTCTGATAAGCTGTTATTTTGTGAAAACAAGCTGGTGCTACAACTGTGTTTCAGATGTTCAACATGGAGGACACACACACTCCCAAGTAACACTTGGTGCCTGAGAAGAATGTGAGGCGGTGCTGCAGTATTAGTGTAGAGACCTGTGATTCCTTAGAGAATAATGGGGACGTATTTAACACCTGAGTTTGTTGAACGCCGCATCTCACGGCTGACAACAGTGCCAGATGGGTGGAACGCATCAACTAATCGCACACTGTACCAGCTTGACTTGAAGATGTGCCAGGTGAAGTCCCTCGTCTTCAGCTTTGAATGGGGCAAGGAAAGGTAACTCTTCACAGCGATGTGTTTCAGTGTATCATGTAGATCAATTTCTGATCTGTATACTGTTAAACCGGCAGAAGGCAGTACTTGTCTAAGTCTTAAAGCAGCTATCTTGTTAGCGAGTTCTCACAATGCTTAACAATATAATAACATTACCAGTGATAGGGAATGTTCTTGTGGTCACTGGTTCGTTATGAAAAAATAAATGACTAATTTGACATAAATGCTGTTGCCTTTCAGATCGTTAGCAGTGAGAAGTTTTGTTTGATGTTTAATGCTACACTCAGCAAAATTCCAGCTATATTGCGGCAGTTAGTAAAGAATTAAGTCTGAACCAGACAATGCAGCGATCAAACACAGTTGAATATGATGACATGTGTCAACCAAGTCAGCGAAACTGACCACCTGATCCTGCTAGTTAACTCTTACGACAAGAATGGATTGCTGAAGACCAATTCTAACCCAGAAAGCCCAAATATATTGTAGATGTTGGCACATGAAACCCACATCAATCAAACCAACAATCACTAAATTAGATTCTGTTCCACTTTCTGCTGTCTGCCACCAGATAAATCACACAGTATACAGTGGAAACACTTTTCTTCTTCCTCATATTTTCGTCCATGCTATTGTATTATATGCTGCTTAGTTAAGTAGGAAAATAAGATGCAGAACATGGCATGTTTCTGTTGTTGACATACCGGTACATTATGATTTGAACCCAACTCACTCACTCACTTCCTTGGTGTATCATATGAAAATTTGTGGAATTCAGTTGTATGTAATATGTCTGATATTAATTATGTATTAACATAATAAAAAACCCCACAATAATTGATTGAAGTCTGAACTAATTAATTCTCACCCAGGTCACATTAATGCTGTTTAGAAATATCTGCTTCAACAAGTTGTCAGTGTTCATTCTTATTTACAGAGAGGGCTTCCTGCCGAGGCAACCCTCTGTCCTTGACGCTCCAGAACGTATCCTCCGTCTGGATGTGAGTCTCAACGAGCTGGGCTTCCTTCCCCATGACAGTCTCCTCCCCTTCCGTAACCTCCGCGAGCTGGATGCATCGCTCAATAAACTCAAGAAGTAGGTGGCCTTTGTTGTTGTTTGTTTACAACTAAACAGGATATAGAAATATTTTTTTTGTTCACAAGTGTGCAGAATGATCTGCTACTGAGTTGCCATCTTTAGGGGTAGAAGTGGTTGTCCTCAGGAAGTGTCAGCCACATGTCCTGAAGTTTGCCTGTTTGGATCCCAGCTGAGAGGGAGAGAATGTTACCTGTTGTTGATATTCATACATTTACCAGTTTAATGTCTTGTTTTGTGGCCTGTCCCTATGACCAGTATTGACCACAGTACACAATCACACTGTTTGACAACGCTGTATGACGACCCTGCATGCCAACACTGTATGATCACCCTGCATGCCAACCCTGTATGATCACCCTGCATGCCAACACTGTATGATCACCCTGCATGCCAACACTGTATGACCACCCTGCATGCCAACACTGTATGATCACCCTGCATGCCAACACTGTATGATCACCCTGCATGCCAACACTGTATGATCACCCTCCATGCCAACACTGTATGATCACCCTGCATGCCAACACGGTATGATCACCCTGCATGCCAACACTGTATGATCACCCTGCATGCCAACACTGTATGATCACCCTGCATGCCAACACTGTATGATCACCCTGCATGCCAACACTGTATGATCACCCTTCATGCCAACACTGTATGACCACCCTCCATGCCAACACTGTATGATCACCCTCCATGCCAACACTGTATGATCACCCTCCATGCCAGCACTGTATGACCACCCTCCATGCCAACATTGTATGATCACCTGCATGCCAACACTGTATGATCACCTGCATGCCAACACGGTATGACCACCCTCCATGCCAACACTGTATGATCACCCTCCATGCCAACACTGTATGATCACCTGCATGCCAACATTGTATGATCACCTGCATGCCAACACTGTATGATCACCTGCATGCCAACACGGTATGACCACCCTCCATGCCAACACTGTATGACCACCCTCCATGCCAACACTGTATGATCACCTGCATGCCAACACTGTATGATCACCTGCATGGCAACACAGTATGACCACCCTGCATGCCAACATTGTATGATCACCTGCATGCCAACACTGTATGACCACCCTCCATGTCAACACTGTATGATCACCTGCATGCCAATACGTGTGACCACCCTGCATGCCAACACTGTATGATCACCTGCATGCCAACATTGTATAACCACCCTCCATGCCAACATTGTATGACCACCCTGCATGTCACACACTGTATGATCACCCTGCTTGCCAACACTGTATGATCACCCTGCATGCCAACACTGTATGACCACCTTGCATGTCAACACTGTGACCACCCTGCATGCCAACACTGTATGATCACCCTGCATGCCAACACTGTATGACCACCTGCATGCCAACACTGTATGATCACCCTGCATGCCAACACTGTATGATCACCCTGCATGCCAACACTGTATGATCACCCTGCATGCCAACACTGTATGATCACCCTGCATGCCAACACTGTATGATCACCCTGCATGCCAACACTGTATGATCACCCTGCATGCCAACACTGTATGATCACCCTGCATGCCAACACTGTATGATCACCCTGCATGCCAACACTGTATGACCACCCTGCATGCCAACACTGTATGATCACCCTTCATGCCAACACTGTATGACCACCCTCCATGCCAACACTGTATGATCACCCTGCATGCCAACACTGTATGACCACCCTGCATGCCAACACTGTATGATCACCCTGCATGCCAACATTGTATGATCACCCTGCATGCCAACACGGTATGATCACCCTGCATGCCAACACCTGTATGATCACCCTTCATGCCAACACTGTATGACCACCCTCCATGCCAACACTGTATGATCACCCTGCATGCCAACACTGTATGACCACCCTGCATGCCAACACTGTATGATCACCCTGCATGCCAACACTGTATGATCACCCTGCATGCCAACACTGTATGATCACCCTGCATGCCAACACTGTATGATCACCCTGCATGCCAACACGGTATGCCAACATATTGAACTAAGACCATGTGCCTCATAGATTTCAGTAACATAAAGTATCCTGACTGAATCCACACCAGTTATGCATACTGTTGCTATATTGAAAAACACAATGCATTTGTCATTGCTAGGTTATCTCCCTTTGATTGGATTGTGATTGAAGATATAGCAGTTAATCTACTTTACATAGATCAAGTTGATGGAAACACTTGCCTATATAATGGAACCATACAACAATGTTACATTTTAATTAATCATTTGTGGAAGTGAATTAAGGGACTGTTCTTAATTAATGTGTGTGTGTGCGTGTGTGCAATTGCGTGCGTGTGTCATGCATCTACATAAAAATCATCATCGCCCACCTAGCCATATGTTATGAACAGTCCCTAAACATATATATTTTATTTGCCAATCAGACACCAATTGCGGTAAAGGTACTTTGTGTACAGTATGTGAGCAAATGTCCAGAGTAGAAATTATTCCAGTTGTTACACTTGCTGATTATGATGGAGTATTGGGTTCAGAACCATTTCCTTCCTCTCAGTATCAGGCAATGCATGGTTCGCACAAAGTTTATGCATGAGATTAGACAGGCAAGTTTCAAGCAGCTTCATTGTTGGGCTGATTAAAGACAGACACACGGAACTCAGACAACACAAAGTGATGTCAGACCGAGACTGTCTGGAATGTTGATACATATGACATGATACAAAATAGAATGTACGAATAAAGTCTTCAAAAGCTGAACTATAGATATTTAAGCCTGTGTATGTTTTCAGCTTCCAGGGCATTGAGGTGCTGCATCATTTGTTCAGCCTTAATCTGGCCCACAATGCATTGCGGCACATTGATGGACTGACAACCAGTTCGATCTCTAGTCGAAATCGATTTGAGTATGAATGAAATTCGAGACATTTCCAGCTTGCCAAGTCTCATCAACCTACGGATTCTAAACCTCAGCAGTAACAAAGTAAGTTACTTGGATCCTGAAGATAAGCAGTGAGAGTGAGTGAGTGAGTGAGGGGAGCTGAGAAGCTGGGTGGATGGGTAACCTCAATAAGACTGAAACATTTTGCTGTACATTTTCATGTACTACCATACTAAGACAGTGGCCTGTGAGTATTGAAGCAGGGTGCTTAATATAGTGTTTACGGTATATGGATTTCAAACTCTGTGTATAAAATCCACCTCAGCAGTATGAACGTGAGCAACTCAAATCCAAACCTCAGTCCTAATGTAACCATCTTCATCCTCATCATGGTCCTGTTGCAGCTGATTAGCTTGGAGGGACTGTCATCTTTACCCAAGTTGGAAGAGCTCAATGTTCAGAGAAATCAGTTGGTAAATATAAAGATGATTTTGTTAAAGGTCACATGCAACCAAAAAATCATACATAATTAAAACACAATTATCACTTATTCATGGCATATAATATACATTGCTGATTATGAAAAAACATATAAACAAAATTATAAGCGTACAATCGCAAATCAAAAGTGCAATATTTTGTACTTGGGTTTACTTCCCATGAAACGAAGCAGCCGGGACACCGAACCCAGTCAGAGCAGGTGGGTGTGCACTCAAGTGTAACGGCTGGTTCACTTGCAGATGCCCTCATGGCTCATTGTGTGTGTATATATATAGAGAGATGTTGGGTTTTGTAAATACATGCTCATTTTTTGTGTAAAACATTTTGCAATCAACAGACATCATAACATGTCATGTGTACAAGTATCACACCTGCCTGTCTGTGTAATTACATAATGTGACAGAGACCGAACTCGGGCCATAAATCAATGCATTTTGTTTATGGTGTATAGCCTGATAGGTGTTAAGTTCAAATTGCATGTGGTCAGTGATCGAAGTTGTGTATTGAATATTGTCATTAGCAGACAGGCAGGCAGACACATAGGTGCCAATAAAACGGACACTGAGTTTTGTCTGTGACAACGACATAGCTATATCATAGTTAGAAATTCTGTCAACGCTAAATAATGACATTGCTTTTAAGTATCGAACTGAGAAAGTGACTCGGTAAGAAGAATGTGTGGTGAAACAGACAAATGAAATAATATAAACAGTTAAATTGGTAATCTACTGTCATAACATATAATAAGCTCGCACCTGTGAAATATCAACAAAACATTAGAAAAATAGCTCACACCAAAGCCTTCACCGAATATTCACCGGATAACCTGCTTCCAGGCTGCGCGAACCTATTTCACTGCGCATGTGCTATGAGCGCAGCGCAGCCCAGCTGTTGAAAACACCTTTCCCCCAAGCTCTGGGGGGAAATTAGTGAATCGTTTGAACTCAAATTTCGTGCAGTTGTTTTCATCGCGTTATTTTTCATTTTTATAAGTTGAATTTGCAATTTTGATGATTTGTTTCGGTAAGTCCATACCGATAGGTATCAGAATCTGAAGTTGTGTTTTACGTTGCATGTGACCTTTAAAAAAACTGAAAATGGCATTTCACTCTATACCTGTGTCACTGATTACTTGACAGACACACCTGTGTCACTGATTACTTGACGCACCTGTGTCACTGATTACTTGACACACCTGTGTCACTGATTACTTGACACACCTGAGTCACTGATTACTTGACACACCTGTGTCACTGATTACTTGACACACCTGTGTCACTGATTACTTGACACACCTGTGTCACTGATTACTTGACACACCTGTGTCACTGATTACTTGACACACCTGTGTCACTGATTACTTGACACACCTGTGTCTGATGTATTTACTTAAGTCTCAGTTTCACTTGATTCCAGTGAAAAGCTTGCTGTGAGATTCAAAGAGTGAAAATCTAATTGCATCGTTGGTTGTCGGAGCCAGTGTTATTCCAGCACATTAGCCCATCACCCTCTTCGTATGAGATTGAATAAAGCATCATATGTATATGGAATCTTTTAAATGCTAGTGTAATGAACCAACACAAAATCATTGTGCTGATTTTGTTTGTTAAGCCAGCTGTATACTGATACTGTAATCCCGCCCCTCCAGGTGAGTATAGTGCCGATCACCAGCTGTCTCCATCTTCGGATGCTCAACGCTGCCGAGAACGAGCTGAAGGAACTGGACAGTGTCACTGCCGTCCTTCAGAAGATGACATGGCTGCGGGTCCTCAGTTTACATGTGAGTCAGACTGGTGCTTAGTTTACATGTGAGTCAGACTAGTGTTCAGTTTACATGTGAGTCAGACTGGTGTTTAGTTTACATGTGAGTCAGACTAGTGTTCGGTTTACATGTGAGTCAGACTAGAGGTCAGTTTACATTTGAGTCAGACTAGAGGTCAGTTTACATGTGAGTCAGACTTGTGTTCAGTTTACATGTGAGTCAGACTAGAGGTCAGTTTACATGTGAGTCAGACTTGTGCTAAGTTTATATGTCAGTCTTACGAGTGGTCAGTTTTACATGTGAGTCAGACTTGTGCTTAGTTTACATGTGAGTCAGACTAGAGGTCAGTTTACATGTGAGTCAGATTAGTGGTCAGTTTACATGTGAGTCAGACTAGAGGTCAGTTTACATGCGAGTCTTACTAGTGGTCAGTTTACATGTGAGTCAGACTAGAGGTCAGTTTACATGTGAGTCAGATTAGTGGTCAGTTTACATGTGAGTCAGACTCGTGGTCAGTTTACATGTGAGTCAGACTAGAGGTCAGTTTACATTTGAGTCAGACTAGAGGTCAGTTTACATGTGAGTCAGACTTGTGCTAAGTTTACATGTGAGTCAAACTAATGGTCAGTCTACATGTGAGTCAGACTTGTGCTAAGTTTACATGTCAGTCTTACTAGTGGTCAGTTTACATGTGAGTCAGATTGGTGGTCAGTTTACATGTGAGTCAAACAACACAGACAGACAAACAAAAAACCTATTATATCTTATGTCACTATTGAACCCTTCCAGTCTGAGACCCTGCTCTCTCCCCCAGATCACTGGATGATAGGGGAACTTTACCATCATGTTCACTTTGTGTGTTTCAGGGAAACCCAATAGATCGAGAACACAACTACCAGACTGACATCATCCGAGCTGCAAATGTCATGACCCTCGACAACATCAGTGTCCGACCGTTGCCAAGGAGAGGTGTAAGTGGTTTTTGTATTGAGAAAAGATGACTATAAGATGCGATATATGTCTGTTTTCATTCCCAGTGATGAACCCCAGTTTGAAAGGACAAATATATTTGAAAATGTCCATTTGTCCCTGGTGTACATTATACAGTATGAATCTTCCCTGTAGAGGAGACACTGCCATGGAGTCATGTCCTGGTGTACATTATACAGCATGGATCTTCCCTGTAGAGGAGACACTGCCATGGAGTCATGTCCTGGTGTACATTATACAGCATGGATCTTCCCTGTAGAGGAGACACTGCCATGGATTCATGTCCTGGTGTACATTATACAGCATGAATCTTCCCTGTAGAGGAGACACTGCCATGGATTCATGTCCTGGTGTACATTATACAGCATGAATCTTCCCTGTAGAGGAGACACTGCCATGGAGTCATGTCCTGGTGTACATTATACAGCATGGATCTTCCCTGTAGAGGAGACACTGCCATGAATTCATGTCCTGGTGTACATTATACAGCATGAATCTTCCCTGTAGAGGAGACACTGCCATGAATTTATGTCCTGGTGTACATTATACAGCATGGATCTTCCCTGTAGAGGAGACACTGCCATGGAGTCATGTCCTGGTGTACATTATACAGCATGGATCTTCCCTGTAGAGGAGACACTGCCATGGATTCATGTCCTGGTGTACATTATACAGCATGAATCTTCTCTGTAGAGGAGACACTGCCATGGAGTCATGTCCTGGTGTACATTATACAGCATGGATCTTCCCTGTAGAGGAGACACTGCCATGGAGTCATGTCCTGGTGTACATTATACAGCATGGATCTTCCCTGTAGAGGAGACACTGCCATGGAGTCATGTCCTGGTGTACATTATACAGCATGGATCTTCCCTGTAGAGGAGACACTGCCATGGAGTCATGTCCTGGTGTACATTATACAGCATGAATCTTCCCAGTAGAGGAGACACTGCCATGGATTCATGTCCTGGGTGCCGTTCCACTAACCGATCTTAGCCCTATGCCAATCGTAAACCCCTAAAATCCCAATCTTAGTGTGACGTTACGATCGGCATACCGTTCCACTAACCAATCTTACCTAAGTCAATCGTAAAGTTAAGATTCAAAGTCTAAGTTGCTCATGACCAACTTAGGATAGCTAAAATCAATCGTAGAGAAACCAAAATGGTGGCTTTCCTATTCTATGTGAAAAATAAGAGCGAGCATTTAACCGTGAGCGTCCCCTAAAGTCCCCCATGAAATGAATTTGTATATTTCTGTGATGTAAACAAACACTGCGCTGAACAAGCCTTACAAATGTCAGGCCAGTCTGACCACTGTCGCCATGGGAACACAACCGAAGCGAAGTCGGTGTAACACATTTGTACAACAATATTGCAACGCCATGGTTAAGAATAGGGACAGCCTTGAAGTGAACAATGTTCTGAAGCAAAAGATACAAATATGCTTGATTTCACTGCGCATATTTGGTGGGGATTCTGAAGGCAGGCCGCTGTGGTTATTCAAGACCACTGACAGATTCTACATAATGCTATAGCCTCGTCCAATGCCTTGTTTATTCTGATTGACAAGGTTCAGGCACATATTAAAAGCTCTGACACAATTGACAGACTTAAAACCTGTTCTCAGGATATTACTTATAATCTCGGCTGTAAATATTCTCGTGTAAATTATAGATCTGTACACAGCGCTTTGAGCATGCCCACTGATGTGGAATAGGCGCACTATAAATATGCAATTATTATTATTATATTATGCTTGATACCCAGCGTTCTCACGCACTTGCACCTGAAACCAAGGTGCTTAGTACCCTAATATTTTGCTCTAGGTTTTTTCTCCACGTTTACACTTGGTTGGAAAAATACCCATGAAGGACCGTGTTAGAATATTGAACTTCAATAATTAACCCATGCCTGTCGTAAGAGGCCACTAACGGGATCGGGTGGTCAGGCTCGCTGACTTGGTTGACACATGTCATCGGTTCCAAACTGCGCAGATCGATGCGCATGCTGTTGATCACTGGATTGTTTGGTCCAGACTCGATTATTTATAGCTAAGATACATAGCGTTTACTAACATGAACGCTCATGTTAGTGAACGCTATGCATCTTAGCTAGATTATTTACAGACCGCCGCCATATAGCTGGACTATTGCTGAGTGCGGCGTAAATCTAAACTCACTCACTCACTCAGTTGGTTCGTAAACTACTTTCTATCATTTGCTAGACTATGCAAAGGGAGATAACGCGTGCCTCGCATTCCTCTATCTCTCGCACGAAACAGTCTCGATCTAAGCTTGGATCGGATCGTAAGATCGGGACCCGCTACGATCGGCCTAAGATCGGTTAGTGGAACGGGTGTAACTTTGAGCTAAGGCGATTGTAAAATTGGCGTAACTTGCTAAGATTGATCTTAGTTAAGATCGGTTAGTGGAACGGCACCCTGGTGTACATTATACAGCATGGATCTTCCCTGTAGAGGAGACACTGCCATGGAGTCATGTCCTGGTGTACATTATACAGCATGGATCTTCCCTGTAGAGGAGACACTGCCATGGAGTCATGTCCTGGTGTACATTATACAGCATGAATCTTCCCTGTAGAGGAGACACTGCCATGGATTCATGTCCTGGTGTACATTATACAGCATGGATCTTCCCTGTAGAGGAGACACTGCCATGGAGTCATGTCCTGGTGTACATTATACAGCATGGATCTTCCCTGTAGATGAGACTCTGCCATGTATTCATGTCCTGGTGTACATTATACAGCATGGATCTTCCCTGTAGAGGAGACACTGCCATGGAGTCATGTCCTGGTGTACATTATACAGCATGGATGATGTCTTCCCTGTAGAGGAGACACTGCCATGGATTCATGTCCTGGTGTACATTATACAGCATGGATCTTCCCTGTAGAGGAGACACTGCCATGGAGTCATGTCCTGGTGTACATTATACAGCATGGATGATGTCTTCCCTGTAGAGGAGACACTGCCATGGATTCATGTCCTGGTGTACATTATACAGCATGGAATCTTCCCTGTAGAGGAGACACTGCCATGGAGTCATGTCCTGGTGTACATTATACAGCATGGATCTTCCCTGTAGAGGAGACACTGCCATGGAGTCATGTCCTGGTGTACATTATACAGCATGGATCTTCCCTGTAGAGGAGACACTGCCATGGATTCATGTCCTGGTGTACATTATACAGCATGGATCTTCCCTGTAGAGGAGACACTGCCATGGATTCATGTCCTGGTGTACATTATACAGCATGGATCTTCCCTGTAGAGGAGACACTGCCATGGATTCATGTCCTGGTGTACATTATACAGCATGGATCTTCCCTGTAGAGGAGACACTGCCATGGAGTCATGTCCTGGTGTACATTATACAGCATGGATCTTCCCTGTAGAGGAGACACTGCCATGGAGTCATGTCCTGGTGTACATTATACAGCATGGATCTTCCCTGTAGAGGAGACACTGCCATGGATTCATGTCCTGGTGTACATTATACAGCATGGATCTTCCCTGTAGAGGAGACACTGCCATGGATTCATGTCCTGGTGTACATTATACAGCATGGATCTTCCCTGTAGAGGAGACACTGCCATGGATTCATGTCCTGGTGTACATTATACAGCATGGATCTTCCCTGTAGAGGAGACACTGCCATGGATTCATGTCCTGGTGTACATTATACAGCATGGATCTTCCCTGTAGAGGAGACACTGCCATGGAGTCATGTCCTGGTGTACATTATACAGCATGGATCTTCCCTGTAGAGGAGACACTGCCATGGATTCATGTCCTGGTGTACATTATACAGCATGGATCTTCCCTGTAGAGGAGACACTGCCATGAATTCATGTCCTGGTGTACATTATACAGCATGGATCTTCCCTGTAGAGGAGACACTACCATGGATTCATGTCCTGACTTCTGATACAAGGTGTTGCATGGGAGCAACTGACATGCTGTCTGCTTGACTGATGTCATTATCTGGATCTGTTTTCTATGACGTCCATCACATCCTTATCATCATTCTCAGTTTGCATGTCGCAGGTTTTACTTATCAGTATAGTCCTATACATACAGGGAGGGTTGCCTCGATGCCTTGTGGTTAAAGAGTTCGCTTGTCACGCAGAAGTCGTGAGTTCGATTCCCAACATGGATAAAATGTATCAGGCCCATTTTTGATGTCCCCCGCGGTGATATTGCTGGAATATTGCTAAAAGTGGCATAAAACCTAACTCACTCACTCACTCCTTGAGGATGCATTACTTTTGTTTTGAGGTACTGTTAGCAAACGATTGTCCAGCATCATGTAGCACCTACAGCATTGAATAACATCAAACACTGCTGTCTTGTTGATAGCCAGAATTGGTTGTTGATCTTGTGTTGAAATGTTTATATAGATAATGAGTGGTATGCATGTTACTGTAGGATGATCCAACACCGTCACCTAAACTACATACTCGAGCCGCCCGTCCAATGGCAAGTCCAGCAAACAAATTATTATAGTGACAACATAGCCGGCACCATCATTACAACTTAGTGCTTATTTCTGTAGTTAGAGAAAATTAATCCTTCTGATGATTCTAGTGCCACATCACTCCAACATCTGTGAATATGTACAGGTGAAAAGTTGTGTAGCATTATTCTGAGTGATGTGATGTATTGGCGCTGTATATACTTACCAAAGTTGGATGAGTATAACTCCATGCCTTATAATGAGCAAAACCTTCTGTTGCCTAATACGGTAGAGATGTCTGGAACAGAGGCTGCAAGGCTTACATTGTTTTGATGAGAACTATCACTGTTGTATAGTACTTTTTGGTCTCAGCATTCTGGTTATCTGCAAATCAAGCCTTGCATCATTGATTAAAACGGCAGCTTCTCTACGTAGCAGCCATAAGTATTCCTAGATGATGGATGAACATCTTGTGTACAAACCAGTGATTTAGTATTTGAACTGATTAGATTCAGTTTCTCATTGATACTGTCAGTCTGCTAGTTAATTCTCTTGATGCAGACACAGGTACTTGTTTCGAGTAGGTTTTGTTGATCTATCAATGATTTCTCACTTAAACTGTTCTTGTATTCTGAATTTTATCTTTTCACTTCGCTTGTAGTTTACTTCTTTCAAACTTCGTTTGAATGACTAATATCATATGTAGCAATTTATAAAAGCTGATGTCCTGTAAAATATGTCCGACTAATTCAATTCCTTTGTTTTTGATAACCATAAAATTAGCAAAATTTGAACTGGTGTTACACTTTTATATCCATGAAACATTTAGGATTAGACTAGAGGAAAATAGTCTCTTGTCTTTTAACAATGGAAGCACTGATTGTACATAGTGGTTCAGATCCCCCACAGTACCAACAGTAAGACTTTCAGGTTATCAGCACCATAGATGAGCTCTTGGATATCACTGACATGGTACACATCTAAGACATGAATAGCTTTGTGCTTTGCTCTCACATTCTCCATGACACAGCTGAAATACTGTTAATATCAGCTTCACACGACCCTCACTCTCGCTTGTAACCACACGTCTCATAGATTCACACTTAGTGTATGTAATATTTATATATTACAGTAGTTGGATTTAAGTTAGTAGTCTTTATGAACTTTTCACATTTACTTTCATTTTTTATTTATCAAATGATTATGAATCCATATTTGAATTGTTGATATCTTATGTTGTTATTCTGCAGAAGTTTTCACAATGTTTGATTTTGTCTGCAGTTTTTATGTTGTAAATTGTGTGAAGAAACAATTCCTTATAAATGAAAAGATCAATGGTTTTGTGACTTTTTATATTTAATATGATTTTCCATTTTGTAATTGACTTTTTTTGTAATGAATGAAATGTTCAACTGTAGCATGCTGTGTTGTAATTCAACAGTCTTTTTTCCAAATGTCAGATTTTCTGCAGTTTTTGTGTTTTCATTTGTGAGGAACAATTCCTTATTAATGAATGGATCAATGGTGATGTTGGTGCTACTGCAGGTGGAACATCGGCATCACATTGACAACATCATCACCCTAAAGGATGCGGCCAAACAGGCCTTCGAAGAGCGCATGCGTGGAGCCCGGGGAGCCATGGAGGACAATGTCAGATTCCTGCAGCACAGGATACAGTAAGTCTACACAGGGCAGGGCAGGGTAGGGTGGGGTATGACGGGGCAGGGTGGTGGAGGGCATACACTCGGACAGACAGATGAACAGACAGGTAGTACAGACAGTATTCGTAGCATGCACAGACACTCAGACAGTACACACAGATGGTCAGACAGGTAGTACAGACAGACAGTATTCATGGCATGCACAGACACTCCGACAGTACTAACAGATGGTCAGAGAGGTAGTACAGACAGACAGTATTCATGGCATGCACAGACACTCCGACAGTACACACAGATGGTCAGACAGGTAGTACAGACAGACAGTATGGACAGACAGGTAGTACAGACAGACAGTATTAAGTAGCATGCACAGACACTCAGACAGTACACACAGTATGGACAGATGGTCAGACAGGTAGTACAGACAGACAGACATTCAGTATTAGTAGCATGCACAGACACTCAGACAGTACACACAGATGGTCAGACAGGTAGTATAGACAGACAGTATTCGGAGCATGCAGAGACACTCGGACAGTACACACAGATGGTCAGACAGGTAGTACAGACAGACAGTATTCGTAGCATGCACAGACACTCAGACAAACAGATGGTCAGACAGGTAATACAGACAGACAGTATTCGTAGCATTCACAGACACTCAGACAAACAGATGGTCAGACAGGTAGTACAGACAGACAGTATTCGTAGCCTGCACAGACACTCAGACAGTACACACAGATGGTCAGACAGGTAGTACAGACAGACAGTGTTCGTAGCATGCACAGACACTCTGACAGTACACACAGATGGTCAGACAGGTAGTACAGACAGACAGTGTTCGTAGCATGCACAGACACTCCGACAGTACACACAGATGGTCAGACAGGTAGTACAGACAGACAGTATTCGTAGCATGCACAGACAATCAAACAGTATACACAGACAGGTAGTACAGACAGACAGTGTTCGTAGCATGCACAGACACTCCGACAGTACACACAGATGGTCAGACAGGTAGTACAGACAGACAGTATTCGTAGCATGCACAGACACTCAGACAGTACACACAGATGGTCAGACAGGTAGTACAGACAGACAGTATTCGTAGCATGCACAGACACTCAGACAGTACACACAGATGGTCAGACAGGTAGTACAGACAGACAGTATTCGTAGCATGCACAGACACTCAGACAAACAGATGGTCAGACAGGTATTACAGACAGCATTCAGCAGACACACTCAGACAGTACACAGAGATGGTCAGACAGGTATTACAGACAGACAGTATTAAGTAGCAGCACAGGCGGCTACAGTACACACAGATGCACAGACACTCAGCATGCACGAACCTCCGACAGTACACACAGATGGTCAGACAGGTAGTACAGACAGACAGTATTCGTAGCATGCACAGACACTCAGACAGTACACACAGATGGTCAGACAGGTAGTACAGACAGACAGTATTCGTAGCATGCACAGACACTCAGACAGTACACACAGATGGTCAGACAGGTAGTACAGACAGACAGTATTCGTAGCATGCACAGACACTCCGACAGTACACACAGATGGTCAGACAGGTAGTACAGACAGACAGTATTCGTAGCATGCACAGACACTCCGACAGTACACACAGATGGTCAGACAGGTAGTACAGACAGACAGTATTTGTAGCATGCACAGACACTCAGACAGTACACACACAGATGGTCAGGAAGTTGATGCCAATCTCACAAGGCTTAGTCCAGGATGAAATTCTCTGAGGGTTTAATATTATAACTCTGATTTGGATTGTAAGCAGCACAGGATACAGTCAGTACGCAGTACAGACACAGTCAGACACACATGGACAGGAAGGTGATGTCAAGCTCACACTGGGCTTAGTTCGGGATGAAACTCTAACTGTCTGAGGGAATAATGTTATCCATTTGTTTTGGATTGTTATTTAAATTCACACTTCATGTGAAACATTCAGATCTTTTGTATTATATTCTTTTGTATTGTTGTAGTGAATGTAACTGGCATGCTTAATAAACTGCAGTGCTGAACTGAGTAAAGCCATAATGTTTCAGGGTTCTGAAACATATATTGTCAAAGAAATTATCTACTGGGAGTTAATGTTAGCAATATTACAATCTTGGAGATCTGCCATTCAGAAATACAGGATGCTGTCACGGTCTGTACTTAGTGAACTTGAACTGATCATGAGTGAGTGTTAATTTAAACGAGTGTCCAATGTTTTGCCTGATAATGGTAATCAAGCATCAAGAAATGTCTTTCAAGACAGAAATAATATACTGACATTGTCTCAAGGTCACTTCAACATGAATACCAGGAGTTTGAGCACAAGATGAGATCTGACCTGGACGTTTGCCTAAGGTAGGACTCTCAGAAATTATGAATTCAATATCCCATGTGAATTAAAATGGCAGTTCATTGAGTTTATTAGTCAAAATATTTCCAGTCTTTTTCCTGAAGACAATACCAAGTACCAATGGTACCAAGTACTCTGTTGTTTGACTGAGGTCATGGTAGTCGTGTGTGATGTTGTATTGTTCCATTAAAGTTGTATGATTACACACTTATAAATATAGGAACTGAACTGTTGAATGTTCCAAATTTGTGTAAATATTTCTAGGTACATGGATACCTTGAGTTCTACAGAAGCCAGCAGTTTTGACCGGCGGTCATTGAATTTCCAGCCTGGTCATGAGAGACCGTGGGAAGGAGTATGTTGACTGAGATCTTCTTAGTTTCATTTCATTTAAAAACCATGCTTGTAGACTGTTGACAGTCTGTTGGAAACTTGGATATGATCTTTAAAAATATATGATCATCTCTGTATTTAGTCTTTGTATTTGTGGATAATTCCTTAACGGCTTGACCACAGTTCACCAATATATATTGAAAACTCCTTGACAAGTGTTACTATGTGTGTGTTGTGTGAACTGTCATGATTTCAGACTTCATGATTATGGGACGAGATCTGATTGTAGATGTTATAGAAAGTAAATGTTACAGACAGCGTATGTTGAGAAGCTGGCTGTGTGGCCACTCTACTGACTCTAGCTCTGTTATGTGACAGTACAAACACAGAAGTCCCAGACCAGACCACAGACACAAGGAGGACTACACGGATGTGAAGAACACAGATGAGGTGAGGGAGGGAGGAAGGAAGGAGGAGTGAGGAAGGGGAGCAGAGATGGAGAGAGTGATGGAGAGATTAGTGTAGAATGAATGAGGAGGACTATGCAGGATGGGAAGGAGAAAATGAGGGAGATGATGAAGTGAATGAGGTGGGAGGGAAAGGAGTGGGAGAGAGAGGGAGGAGATCTCTGAGTGATGGAAGGAGGGAGAGGATGAAGTGAATGAGGTGGGAGGGAAAGGAGTGGGAGAGAGAGGGAGGAGATCTCTGAGTGATGGAAGGAGGGAGAGGATGAAGTGAATGAGGTGGGAGGGAAAGGAGTGGGAGAGAGAGAGGAGATCTCTGAGTGATGGAAGGAGGGAGAGGATGAAGTGAATGAGGTGGGAGGGAAAGGAGTGGGAGAGAGAGGGAGGAGATCTCTGAGTGATGGAAGGAGGGAGATGATGAAGTGAATGAGGTGGGAGGGAAAGGAGGGAGAGAGGAGGAGATCTCTGAGTGATGGAAGGAGGGAGAGGATGAGGAATGAGGTGGGAGGGAAAGGAGTGGGAGAGAGAGAAGAGATCTCTGAGTGATGGAAGGAGGGAGATGATGAAGTGAATGAGGTGGGCGGGAAAGGAGTGGGAGAGAGACAGAAGAGATCTCTGAGTGATGGAAGGAGGGAGGGAGGACTCCTGGATGGGGAAAAAATGATAGATGAGAGACAGGAGTGAGAACTTGAGATCTCTGAGTGACGGAAGGAGGGATAGATGAGAGACAGGAGTGAGAACAGGAGATCTCTGAGTGATTGAAGGAGGGAGGACTCCTGGGTGGTGAGAAAATGATAGACAAAATAAGGGAGGTCAGGATGAGAGACTGAATGAGAGACCGGGGTGGTCTCACGGTGGGGATTGAGGGAGAGATGAGGGGGAAGGGGGGATGGGAAGAGGAGGGAAGAGTGAAAGTGTGAGTAACAAAGGAGAAAGGGAAGTAGTGATTGGATGATCTTGTGATAACCGTGAACATCTGTCAGGAAAATGTGGAAATGTTGGTAATGCGTGTTTGAACACATGTAATTGTTCCCCATGTTGGCTCTTCCTTGTTTGTCAACACCTGCATCCTGCGGAGTTCCTCTCCCTCGTAACATCGTCATCACCGCTGCTCAGTGTACAAGGGTCACCATGTACTTGAGGATGTCAGTGTATTAGGGTCACCACGAGTAAGCTTGACATGAGATGTGTGACAGTGTACTAGGGTCACCACGGAGTAAGCTTTACATGAGATGTGTGACAGTGTACATGCACCTACCATACAAACATATAACTCTCCTTTGGTCCATGTATCACAATAGCACACTTTGTTGTTAGTGTTTGTTTGAGCCGCGTCACAACAAGATGGTGATAGTCCTGTGAACGTGTGAGAGTATGTTATGTATATGTGAAGATATAGTTTGTACATGCTTGCTGACATTGTGATCTGTATGATCAGTGTTTCTCCTGTGTCACATGTCCATCACTACCTTGTCCTCAAGGACCAAGTGGAAGTATATTGTTCAGGCCAGAAACAAATGTCAAACATCAGTATCAACAAGGGAGGTAACCCAGGAAGTCTGAAATAATATACGTGAGGTGTAGGTTTTGTTCTCAAGCAAAGGTAGATTTCTCAACTTTAATTTGACTGCTTCCTCTCAAAGTTGAACATTTGTTAGAGGAACACTGATGGTGTAGCATTGAAAGACACTCATCTGTATGTCCTGAAGGTGTGGAGATGAGAGACACTACTCTGTATGTCCTGAAGGTGTGGAGATGAGAGACACTACTCTGTATGTCCTGAAGGTGTGGAGATGAGAGACACTACTCTGTATGTCCTGAAGGTGTGGAGATGAGAGACACTACTCTGTATGTCCTGAAGGTGTGGAGATGAGACACACTAATCTGTATGTCCTGAAGGTGTGGAGATGAGAGACACTACTCTGTATGTCCTGAGGTGTGGAGATGAGAGACACTACTCTGTATGTCCTGAAGGTGTGGAGATGAGAGACACTACTCTGTATGTCCTGAAGGTGTGGAGATGAGAGACACTACTCTGTATGTCCTGAAGGTGTGGAGATGAGAGACACTACTCTGTATGTCCTGATGAGATGAGAGACACTAATCTGTATGTCCTGAAGGTGGAGAGATGAGAGACACTACTCTGTATGTCCTGAAGGTGTGGAGATGAGAGACACTACTCTGTATGTCCTGAAGGTGGTGTGGAGATGAGAGTCACTACTCTGTATGTCCTGAAGGTGTGGAGATGAGAGACACTAATCTGTATGTCCTGAAGGTGTGGAGATGAGAGACACTACTCTGTATGTCCTGAAGGTGTGGAGATGAGAGACACTACTCTGTATGTCCTGAAGGTGTGGAGATGAGAGACACTACTCTGTATGTCCTGATGGTGTGGAGATGAGAGACACTACTCTGTATGTCCTGATGGTGTGGATGATCCACTGTATGTCCTGATGGTGGAGATGAGAGACACTACTCTGTATGTCCTGAGAGACACTGTGGAGATGTGGGAGATGAGAGACACTACTCTGTATGTCCTGAAGATGTGGAGATGAGAGACACTACTCTGTATGTCCTGAAGGTGTGGAGATGAGAGACACTACTCTGTATGTCCTGAAGGTGTGGAGATGAGAGACACTACTCTGTATGTCCTGATGGTGTGGAGATGAGAGACACTACTCTGTATGTCCTGTATGTGTGGGAGATGAGAGACACTACTCTGTATGTCCTGATGATGTAATCTGAGATGATGAGACACTACTGTATGTCCTGTATGTCATGTCCTGAGGTGGGAGATGAGAGACACTAATCTGTATGTCCTGATGATGTGGAGATGAGAGACACTACTCTGTATGTCCTGATGATGTCCTGATGTGGAGATGAGAGACACTACTCTGTATGTCCTGATGGTGTGGAGATGAGAGACACTAATCTGTATGTCCTGATGATGTGGAGATGAGAGACACTACTCTGTATGTCCTGATGATGTGGAGATGAGAGACACTACTCTGTATGTCCTGAAGGTGTGGAGATGAGAGACACTAATCTGTATGTCCTGAAGGTGTGGAGATGAGAGACACTACTCTGTATGTCCTGATGATGTGGAGATGAGAGAGACCTGACACTACTCTGTATGTCCTGATGATGTGGAGATGAGAGACACTACTCTGTATGTCCTGATATGTCCTGATGATGTGGGTGTGGAGATGAGAGACACTACTCTGTATGTCCTGAAGGTGTGGAGATGAGAGACACTAATCTGTATGTCCTGATGGTGTGGAGATGAGAGACACTACTCTGTATGTCCTGAAGGTGTGGAGATGAGAGACACTACTCTGTATGTCCTGATGATGTGGAGATGAGAGACACTACTCTGTATGTCCTGAAGGTGTGGAGATGAGAGATACTAATCTGTATGTCCTTAAGGTGTGGAGATGAGAGTCACTACTCTGTATGTCCTGAAAGTGTGGAGATGAGACATGAATCTATATGTCATTCAGGTGTGTTAATCTCTGTGTGCAGGTGTTAAAGTGTGCCTACAATGAGCTGGCTCGAGACCAAAGCAGACTGGAAGATGTGTAAACATCTCGCCTACAGTGACACACAGAGGCTGAAGATACGTTCACACAGCAGGATATGAAGAAGGGTCGATGGATGATATCTTCCTTGTTTGATAGACACTTAACTTTACTAACCTATGATAACCTCTACCTCATGTTTTTCCTTCAAGGACAGAGCCAGGTAAACTGGCGCGGGGTTACTTGGGTTGAGTAGGTCCGGATTTGAGGCTGGGTACTCACTGAACAACGCTTAGTCATGTGATATATTGTTCAGTGTGAATAACAATGAAACTCAAAGATTGTTATAACACTCTATATAGGTCATGATTTCTGACTACGCACACACACACGAGCTGACTGTTATCCACATACCGTCATCCCTCACAATAACTCCCCTTGTGATATCACGGTCCTGGTTAAACCTCAGGGTAGTCCGTAGTCTAGGTAGTCCGTGGCTCCCATATATATTCCCATCGATCACACATCTTCACGTCATCACAAATAGCATATCAACTAGCTGCTCAAGCTAATCATTATGTCAGGATGAACTAGGGAAATTCAGTGTGGAAAGTAATACAAAGTGTCCTTTGTTTATCTATGTATTGCAGGTTTTCAGATGGACCCGAGGGCCAGTGTTATAGCGAGGGATGACTGTATCTTTATTGTTTTATTAGGGATTTTGCAAATCAATTCCAATTATGGAACCCCTCTGTTGGGAACTCCTGGAGCAGTCTGGTAGAGCTAGGTTACTAGGGGTCGGGTACCTGATTGCCCTATTTCAAATCATTCAGTAGGTCGTGTGAAGAGAATTTTGAAATACCTTGGGAAGACATGTGGAAGGCTCTTGCACTTTAAATATATGAATTGTTCCTCAGTCCCGTTGGTCCCGGAGACCGGGAAACAACCCCTGGGGCATCGTGTGTTCTGTCAACGTTACCTGCTTACACTGAGTGAGATCTTCACTGACTTGATGTTGCATTGTTTTAAAACCATCACTATTAGTGGTTTGAATGGACATTTCTAGTTATCGTAGATATGCTTTGGCTCCATGCCAATAGAAGTATGTTAATGATGTTGTTTTGAGAAAGATTTAATGTTTAAAGATAAACATTTGACATTGTTGTATTTATTATGGTACTTGCCAACAGCTGAAGTAATGGTTGGTATCCATAGTTCTACTAGAAGTACTAAAGTTGATTGAAATCAGTGGAGTGCGTGAGGATTGTCTGTGGAGCTTCTGTTGGAGATGCATACAATGTTACCAGATATACAGGGTCTCAGTGCAACACCGAGTGGTTAATGTTGTCAAGTATCAGTCCAAGGACGAAGATTCCAGTACAATGAGAGATGCCAGTTGTTGTGTCCTCAACTGTGATTGGCTGATATAGAGTATAGTAAAACCACGCTCACCCACTCTGTGTAGCACCTATTTGTCAGCCATACAAGTCATTTTGCAGCCAAACATTATATTTCCGTCCACTTGTCCTGTGATACGGTGTTAAACCGATCTCACCCACTAACTCCCTGTGATACGGTGTTAAACCGATCTCACCCACTAACTCCCTGTGATACGGTGTTAAACCGATCTCACCCACTAACTCCCTGTGATATGGATGTCTTCATTATTTTCTGTTTCATATCTCTCATCTGGTTAATATTATCTTATGTTGTAATTGTTAATGTTGGCTTGTCTGAATGATTGTGGGAGGCTATGATCAGACTCTTAGTACATTTACTATTACCACTGTTATTATATATTTGTATATATTTGTGATTGCCAACCAACCGGTGTCTTCATCTTGACACAGACTAAGGAAATAAAACCAGCTACTCAATTCCCATGTTTCATGTCATTGGGGGAGGGCAGGGGCGTGGTGATAGAGTGAGTTGTGAGTGAGTGAGTGAGTTTAGTTTTACGCCGCACTCAGCAATATTCCAGCTATGTGGCGGCGGTCTGTAAATAATCGAGTCTGGACCAGACAATCCAGTGATCAACAGTATGAGCATCGATCTGCGCAATAGGGAACCGATGACATGTGTCAACCAAGTCAGCGAAACTGACCACCCGATCCCGTTAGTCGCCTCTTACGACAAGCATAGTCGCCTTTTATGGCAAGCACATGGGTTGCTGAAGACCTATTCTACCCCGGAACTTCACGGGTCGCGTGGTGATCGAGCTGTCAAAGGCGCCAGGCTGGTCATCCAGCGAGTTTAAGGTGTCCGGATCGAGGCCACCTGTGACCGGGTGTAAAAACCTTGGAGTCAACATTGTGTGCAGACTCTTTCAGTGTTGTCACAACCCCTAGTGTACAGTACACAACCCTGTGCACTTAAAAGAACCCACGAATCCGTTGATATATGACCAGATGGTGGCCACATGAATACGTGCAAACACCTAGTTGCGGGTACAGCAACGTGCCTCGTTCAGTAAACTTGGACAAAGTACTGTGACTATGTGTCCCAGTCCACCCAGCTGGGAATGGGTGCCTCGTAAGGATGGGAAAGTCACATTAATTTGGTGCGCCTAGTGGCTGCAAGAGTTTGTATGATCCGCATTGAGTTGAGATTGAAAGTACGATGTGCCGCTGACATAGACATCCAATGATCGAGGGACGAAATACCAGTGCCTTGAGCATGTACTAGTTGCGTGGATATGTGCGCTATATATATATCATGTGAAGTGCCGCTGAGACTGACATCCAGTGATTGAGGGAAAAAACCAAAGCGCTTTGAGCATGCACATGGGATGGACTATTGCGCTAAAATTATACCCATAAAAATAAATACTAATACCTAATACTTTGAACTGATATGATGGTGTCATTCTGCCCAGATAGTGTTAATTGGTGCTCATGCTGTCAACCCCTGGTTTATCTGGTCAAGACATCGGTGGACATCTGGATTACAACAGGTCCCCATCCCCCTGTCCTGTGGTGACTGTCCTGAACCAGGTGGTGAGGAACTGTGCTGACTCCATGTTGTGTATCGGCAGTATTGGTCGGTCTTCATGAATGCTCTCTGTCACGTGTGTCCAGTCCAGATGTTTACTGGTCTCTGTCATACAGCTAGAATATGGCTGACTGGCATGTAACAACATTCATTCAGGTGATGGCCAAGTGGACTCCGGAATCACATGTGATGAGCAGTGTGGCTTTGGGTCAAAGATTCCAATCCCGGTTTGCCCCATAGAGGCTTATGGTGTTAGTGTCTGAAAGACATTTTCACTTTAGGCTTTATCCCACACTGAGTTGAGATGCTGTGATATAACCTACTTTATCACCCGCACTCACTCCACTCGTCAGCCATGCATCGTCACTGTCTCGATCAAACACTAACTCTTTCCCACATTCATTCAATCACTGTCACAAAATCGATGAGTCACTCATTCACAAAACTGTCTTCGATCCTCTCTCTATCGATGAGTCATGTGATCGCACTCACTCTCAAAACTGTCACTCATTCTCACTCTCAAAATGTGATCACTCGCTCACTCACTCGATCACTCATCTTCTATCGATGAGTCATCACTCGTGATCACTCTCAAAACTGTCACTCATTCATCTCTCTATCGAAATGTGATCACTCGTCACTCATCCGATCGACCACTCTATCGATGAGTCATGTGATCACTCGCTCACTCACTCACAAAACTGTCACTTCGATTCGATGTCTTCTCTCTCATCGATGAGTCATCTATCGATGAATCATGTGATCGCTCTCACTCACTCACAAAACTGTCACTCATTCGATCACACTCACCTCACTTATTCGATCTTCTCTCTATCGATGAGTCATGTGATCACTCGCTCACTCACTCACTCACAAAACTGTCACTCATCCGATCACTCTCTATCGATGAGTCATGTGATCACTCGCTCACTCACTCACTCACAAAACTGACACTCATTCGATCACTCTCTATCGATGAGTCATGTGATCACTCGCTCACTCACTCTCAAAACTGTCACTCATTCGATCACTCTCTCTATCGATGAGTCATGTGATCACTTTCTCACTCTCAAAACTGTCACTCATTCGATCCTCTCTCTATCGATGACTCATTCACTCACTCGGTGTCATAAAGAAATCACAAGATGTATAAATTGCATATTTTATTAGAAAGAATATTAATGAGTTTCAAGATGGAGTACTGTTCTGTAGATGTATGACGTACATGTATAGGACATCACATTGCTATGTACAGAGGCAGGAGGTTATGTACAGAGGTGGAGGAGGAAACATCGACCATGTGGACACCTGGTGTCACTCAGCTCACTCACTAGATCATGAATGAGAATGGTTTTACGATATTTTGAAAATACTCCATTAATACCAGAAATGACAACTCATGTGAAACTCTGACATCAACTCAGTTTGGGCAATCCTAAATTGATTGCTATATAATTAAAAATTGTTTTGACTGACTTGATGACAGTTTGAACATTCTGGCTGCCTGGTCTCCAGCAATACATTCTGAGTGAGTGAGTGAAGTTACTCTGCTTGTATATGCAACCTCTAACTCTGTAATTTCTGGCATACTAAAGTAGAGCCCAGCTGTAATGAGCCATATCACCTGACTGGAACACCTCACAGAGGGATAGCTCGTAGTTGGACACCTTAGAGCAGACCACCTGACAGTAGAACACCTGGCAGTTTAACACACAGAAGAAGAATACCTGCGAGGGAAACATTGTAGGGTAGAACACCTTGTGGCAGTGAAACAAATGGCAGTATAACATATGGCAGTACAACTCCTGGCAATATACATAAGATATCAAAAATGTATGTTTCCTCCCGAAATTCCAAATTAAGACCAAAAAACATCAAAAACAGAAAATAGGTGAGAGACTAACTGATCTTGTAGCTAAAGTCACTCTGCGGTAGGTATATAAGTCCGTTCTTGTTGTCATGGCCACAGATCCCCTGCTAACGAGCTTGTTGGTGTCGCCGTCTAGGGCTAGAAGCGGGGTCGCACGTTGCGGCCCCTCCCCCAGTTCCTATGGCCCCTCCCCCAATTCCCATGGCCCTTCCCGAGCAGCCTGGCTAGCATCTGCTTTCTCTCCCCCTCCACCAGCACACGGTCGATGACGTGGACAACCCCGTTACTGCCGGTGTTGTCGCACTCGGTGATCATGGCGGGTCCGATCCGGATGTAGTCATGGCTCCGTCGCTCCAGCCGGAACACCTCACCTCCGATAGTCCGGAGTCTGGGACTTCCATACCAGCCGTTCTTGAAAATACTTGCACAGCACAGGGCGTCTGGTGGAACAAACAGATAATACCTTTGTATAGTAGCCGGTATGTCCTTCAGTCAGGACAAGTCAAGGATCAAATATATAACAGGCAGGCAGGCAGGCAGGCATCCATCCATCCATCCCATCCATCCATCCAATCCATCCATCCATCCATCCATCCATCCATCGTCACAGGTGGGCTCGATCCGCGTCACCTCACCTCAAGCTCGTTGGATCACTAGCCTGGCGCTTTAGCCAGTTCGCCCACCACGCCCCCAGGCATGCCATTCTGACGAGTACAACACAAGGATGAAGTATCTAGCAGGCATGTCCTTGATGTATTGATTTTACAGACCACCTTGATGTATTGGTGATCTAACGTATCAGCATTCATTCGTTCGTTATTACATCATTCGACCAACTTTTAGAAAGATTGTTTTCTCACTGAAGGTTTTATAGATATATTCAGTGCTACCTACCCTTCGCCAGATGGTTTTTCAGGACGGCCCTCAGCTCGTCGGTGTTGTTCCGTAGCCTCTTCATGGCGTCCTTGCCCAGAGTCTTGAAGGCCTGGAGACAGCGAGGCATTGGTGGTAAACCAGAAGGGAAGGGAGCGGGGATTCACAGGAAGGTCATGAGGTCATGAGTGTGTGTATGTACTAAATTTGAGGGACTGGTCATGTATTGTCATGCGGTCATGGAACAACGTCCGTACATATATATGTGTTTCTGTGTGTGTTAGGGGCAGGGTGGGTCTGGTTGGCCGGGCGGTTGTTGAAGGTGTTTATTTACAGTCCTCAGAAACGACAACTTTAAACTTCCCCAGTGGTGTCCAGGGTGTCTTTGTACAAAGCAATCCTAGCGCTAAGGTGACCGTAACTCCCATACCTTAACATAGACTTAAGTCTTTAGCGCTAAGGTTGTTTTGTACAACGGCACCCTCGATGCTGGTAGAAAGTCAAAAGCTGATATGTTTGCCCTGTTTAATCATTAAGCTAATTGGATCATAAACTTCAGGTTATGTAAACTCTCATGAGTCAAACGTGCTTTTACTGCCAAAGAACAGAATGAAGACCTCCTTTAAGTAAACTCAAGATCTTGCGTCACGACATCACAGAGATATTTCCCAGGTACAAATAGCATAACAGAGTGAGCGAGTTTGGTTTTGCTCTGATCTCAGCAATATTCTAGCCTTACCACGGCGGGAGGCATCAGGAATGGGCGTCACACATTGTATCCATGTGAGGAATCGAACCCGGCCTTCGGCGTGACGAGTGAACACTTTAGCCACTAATCTACCCCACCGCCCCGGCATAAAAGAAATAGAGGAATGGGACATGTAATAAAATATCGTTTTTCCTCACTTGATTTGTTGGGGCGAAGATGGTGAAGGGTCCTTCCTCCTGGAGCTGGTCCGCCACACCCGCCTTCTTGATGAGGCCCACCAGCTGAGAGAAGCGCGAGTCCAGAGCCAGGACGTCCACCACGTTGCCGGTCGGAGGGATCATCACCTGGGGGTGACAGGTTTAAACGTTGAATTTAATAATTTGTAAGCAACATTTCTTAGGTATAACGGCAGTTCTGGGCGTATTGTGGCGAATACAAACATAGTATATATCATAACCGTAGAATTATGAAATACTGGAAGCAAGAGGGTGATCAGGTCTTGGCACTGAGCGCTGATTAGAGCACTGATAAGTCAGGAATCCTTAAACCAGTGAGCAGCAAGACTTGAGGTTTATACAGTAGCCAATGAATAATAGTAACGTACGACTAAATTTAGTGACATCACCACTTCCACTGTCACGTCAAAGGTCAAAGGTCCCGCTATCCCGTAATTATACCTATTTATTATCGCATTTCATGTCTCTCTTTTCTGCCAACAATGGCTGGCCTTCCAGTGTTCCAGTACACCTACTGAATATCGGGTACTCATCCGCCGTGTTTGTGACATGACTCTTTTAAAGACATTATCCCGCTTCCATTTGTATTTTTTAGCATGATTAAACCTTAAAATCGAATATCAAAGCAATTTCAACAAAAAAGCAAAAAACATCGATAATCGAACAGATAAAATACTCGAATAGAAGTTCCAAAAGTGAGTGCGGCAATCTCATCAGTGACATCCACCGGGAACACAGTTAAACAAACACCCCGTAGTTATCATTTCTCTCTGGAAGCCTAAATCATGATATAATATTTACTTACGTCAGCATTTGTTTCAAGTCGTTATGTGGGTGACTACATTCCCAGAAGGCTAAAAATACTGCGAAAAACGGATGCCCGTCAAATCGCCCTAGCTACAAAATGCCACAGCAAATTTGGTCAAAATGCCCCAAATTATTTAAAATGGTTAAATGTATGCCGTAAATGCATAGTTTTTGTCAACTTCCATATTATATTCTTCACATAATATAATATAGCAATATTTCTGATAAATGTTCTATTAGTCAACTGAAAAGAGCAAAAGTCATATTCATGTATAAGGATTCCAAGCCTTACCGTTTCATGAAGCCCCATAAACTGTCTCTGTAATGAACATGTCTGTGATGGCCTAATCCACAGTGTATGGAACCTCTGTCTACTATGCAGCTAGAGGGTGCAAACATCACCTCCAGCTCTAAGATTTGGTGGCCTACCTTCTCGATAATGTTGATGACGCCATTACACGACTCCACGTCTCTGGTTGAGATTGGAGCACACTGGGCAGTCTGCTTCCAGTCGGTTCCGAACGGGAACTGTAAAATGAGCAGGTTTTCAATGTTTCAGATTGTCTTGAAAAGTCAACCAATCCATACACCAGCTTATCCAAAACGGTTACCCACAGCAGATCTCGCTTGGGGCCACATCTAGCAATAGCTCCCGGGAACTATCGCTAGAATGAAAATGCATCAGAATGCTTTTAACATTTTTGAGACGTCATCGTTATCATGACGTTACAACAATGTTCTCCCGTACTATGCCAAATGGACGTAATTTTACCCGTGGTCTTATAAAACCTTTGAAGAGACATGTGAACGTTTGATCGACCAGGTCTAAACTATGGATCCATAAGCAAAAACCTACAGAACAATGTGTGAAGCCCGCCGTGATATTGCTGGAATATTGCTAAAAGCGGCGTAAAAGTAAACTCACTCACTCATCAGTGCCCCAGGTTTAATGTCCTAAGAGGCGACTCACGGGATCGGGTGGTCAGGCTCGCTGACTGGGTTGACACATGACATCGTATCCCAATTGCATAGATTGATGTTCATGCTGTTGATCCCTGGATTGTCTGGTCCAGATCCGATTATTTACAGACCGATGCCATATAGCTGGAATATTGCTAAAAGCGGCGTAAAACTAAACTCACTCACTCTTCAGTGCCCCAGGGTTAACCAGACAGAAAAATCAGACCGCCGATTAGGAAAATAAAATCTGAATCTCTAATCAAATCTTCGAGACCTACTGTAACCAGCATTTCGAAAGTTCAATATACAAGCATGTACAGTGTACGTCTTCATGTACACTCAAGGACAATGACCACGACTTCAAGGTACTTCAAACTCCAACGTTCTGACATCCATCAAAGCACAAGCCATTCACACGAACATGTTTACCGTGGCCTACCGAGGAGTATTCGTTGATCCTAATCCTCTTGTCGGAGTTGGATGTTTCCAGAAGGAAGTTGTTGTAGAGGGCGTTGAAGGAGACGCGGTCGGGGACGATGTGATACTGAAGCAGCCGCCTCAAGGAGTCGGGGTTGGCCCTGAGGGAGTTGACGGTCTCCTCGGGGAGGTCCTGAAATACACAAACAGGTCTCATTGTATACAAGTAAAGGAACGCAGGTCTCATTGTTTACAAGTAAAGGAACACAGGTCTCATTGTATACAAGTAAAGGAACGCAGGTCTCATTGTTTACAAGTAAAGGAACACAGGTCTCATTGTATACAAGTAAAGGAACGCAGGTCTCATTGTTTACAAGTAAAGGAACACAGGTCTCATTGTATACAAGTAAAGGAACGCAGGTCTCATTGTTTACAAGTAAAGGAACACAGGTCTCATTGTATACAAGTAAAGGAACACAGGTCTCGTTTTATACAAGTAAAGGAACACAGGTCTCGTTGTATACAAGTAAAGGAACACAGGTCTCGTTGTATACAGGTAAAGGAACACAGGTCTCATTGTATACAAGTAAAGGAACACAGGTCTCGTTGTATACAAGTAAAGGAACACAGGTCTCATTGTATACAAGTAAAGGAACACAGGTCTCATTGTATACAAGTAAAGGAACACAGGTCTCGTTTTATACAAGTAAAGGAACACAGGTCTCGTTGTATACAAGTAAAGGAACACAGGTCTCATTGTATACAAGTAAATATGTGATAGGTCTCATTTTATACAAGTAAAGGAACACAGGTCTTATTGTAAAGAAGTAGCTGAGTGGTAGGTCCCATTGTATACTAGTGGGGGCGGTGGGGTAGCCTAGTGGTTAAAGCGTTGGCTCGTCACGCCGAAGACCCGGGTTCGATTCCCCACATGGGCACAATGTGTTAAGCCCATTTCTGGTGTCCCCCGCCGTGATATTGCTGGAATATTGCTAAAAGCGGCGTAAAACTAAACTCAGTCAGTCAGTTGTATACTAGTAATTGAAACAGACGTCTCATTACATAAGCACCGGTCTCATTGTGCACAACAGGTCTAACACAGGCCACATTGTACACAAGCATCTGTGACAGAGGTCTCATGTTAGACAAACATCTGTGACAGAGGTCTCATTATAGACAAACAACTCTAACACAGGTCATAGTGTAAACACGCATCCCAGTCAGAGATTTCAGTATATACAATCAGTTCTAACACGGGCCATAAATGATACAGGCATCTGTGACAAAGGCTGAATCATTAATTACAAGCAGCGAATACCAAGGTTACCTGGATAGCCTTATTGGAGGGGACGAAGAAGGTGACGTTGCTGGCCTTCTGAAGGTCATTCATCATTTTAGCCTCTTTCAGAAGGCCAAGGATGAGGGTTGCCCCGTGCTTCTCAACAATGTCCGTTATACGCAGGGCTGGAATGTACAGTGTGTGGTTAGACATGATTAAACAATACCTTAACTTGCAGAATGTAACGAGGTCGAGGTTTGAATGTCAACGATTCTGGCAGTAGCAACATATGTACTGGGACGATTGAGGTACAGGTACAACAGACGATGAGGACAGCCTTGTAGTGTGAATACCATCACTCTAATGTTTGTGACGGTGACACTAACTGCGTCTGGTACTAGACGACCCATTGCGCTTATATTCTACAAGGCGGAAACCGAAACTGACTGTCTAATTATATTACCTGTTAAAAGAATCTTTCAAAGTCTAATATCCAACGGTATTTTTGAGCTTCGTGCATGTCTGATTGCCGTCTTGGTTTGTGCTGTTATTGCTTGTGTAACGCCATTGTAAGACACTGTAGTGGGCAGAATTGGAATCCGAAACAATGTCGTCAAATGTATTTATAGACATAGATGTCACTATAGATCCACATGGGTCATGATCCATATTTCCAGGCGATCCCGTTAGTCGCCTTTTACGACAAGTTTGGGTTACTGAAAACCAATTCTAACTCGGATTTGTGTTCGGTAATGAAACGTTGTCCTTAATCCAGAAATAGGATAATCTCGAGGAAGAGTATTTTACAAAACAGCTTTTCAGTAAGTAATACGTTCGGTTATCAACACTAAGACTCAAATGGTCAGAGTTACTTTGACTGATTAACGTAGATGTAGGTTCCGGCCAAGTGCAGAGAGTGAGTTTAGTTTTACGCCGCTTTTAGCAATATTACAGCAATATCACGACGAGGGACACCAGAAATGGGCTTCACACATTGCTCCCATGAGGGGAATCGAACCCATGCCTGACGAGCGAACGCAGTAGCCACTAGGCTACCCCACCGCCCCACCAAGTGCAGTAGATGACGCTTGCTATAGCTAGTGACTATCTGGGGATATGTGACCCAGAGGTTCGTGTCTACCTTCGTCTGGTACCAGGACGTCATCAATCACGTGGATGACGCCATTCGTTGCCATCAGGTCCTTCTGTACGACCTGCGCCTTGCCCACAAACACCTTGTCGTCGTCGTCACGGGTGAGGTTGATGTAGGCGTTGAGGAGGTTGTAAGACTTGGCGTGACCTTGGATGATGGCAGAGCAGATGACATTCGGCAGAACGTGGTTCTTCAGCACCTCTGTGGAGCAGAACAATCGGGAATAATAAAAAGCAACATGAGGGAGTCAGCTCGTTGGAGAAGAACCCAAATTACTTCCGGTATTCGACCTTGACCTAAGACTACTGGATCATGACCTCTGCAAGGTGACGGGAAGAAACAGCAAGACATTACTGTTCACGGAAAAGCTTTATAGACGACACTGAGCTTAGATAATATCCATTTAAACTACCAGTACAAACGAGCGAGTGCACCATCTACATAATAACGGCCTAAAATAGAATGGACCAGGAACACCACTGGTTGATAGCACGAACAGGAGTGGACCACGCCGTCGGGTAGATGACACAAAATAAACTACATCACATAATGTTATTTCCTCGTCCTGTTTGTTTTTCATCTATGCAAGTCTCAAGTACCGACTGTTTAATTGTTTGGACAAGGAGCCTGAGACTGTTTTTGCCAAATGTCTAACAAGACTGCTGGGCTCCTCCTTCAAGGCAACTCACTGAGGCTGACGGTCACTCACTCTGTAGACACTCTTCCTGTCCACTCAGCAGCTTCTCAAGGAGTTGTGGCGCCATCTTCCTGAAGGCGGCGTCTGTGGGGGCGAACACTGTGAACTGACCCTCGCCTCGGAACATGTGGACCAGCTTCGCCCGGGCTAAGGCTGAAACAAACATTACGGGTCATTTCTGGACTTACAAGGCCAGCGTTGCATTCTCTGGGTTGGGTCAGAGCGATCTGGGTTGTCAGTATATGAGGGCTCCCTGTTATGTTTCAGTTTGGTGAGTGAGTGGGTGGGTGGGTGTGTTTGGGTGTATGGGTGAGTGAGTGAGTGGGCTATCCACGATATTCCAGCTTCATGACTGCATGTCAGCTGAAGCCAAGCCTAAGTGATGTTTTTGTTGGTTTGTTGTTTAACGCCGCACTCTATGAAGGCGGTCTGTAAATAATAAAATCTGGACCAGACAATCCAGTGATCAACAGCATGAGCATCAGTTTACGTGGCTGGGATACGATGACATGTCAGCCAAGCCAGCGAGCCTGATCACCCGATCCCGTTAATCGCCTCTTACGACAAGCATGGTTGCTGAAGACCAATTCATACCCTGATCTTCACGGGTTTAAAGTCATGGAGATCATAGACGTTACCATTTTAATGAAACTGACGATGGTGGGTTTATAACATCATGTCGTACCTAAGGGACGCAACGTGGCGTTTTACAACATGTTTAGACGAACTGGCCACCTGTACCTCTGGGGACTGAATACATGGCTATAACTTTCTGTTGCAGTTATGATAAAAGACAATAACGGATAAAGCAGGACGTCTGTAATCATTGAATAATGATTGAATCACTGGTAGTGATGTTGGTTCAGTTATCGAACTTGACATGACTTTGGCCACACACTATCCACTGACCGGTCTTCAGGATGCCGAACTGTGGCGACTTGCTGATGATGTCGACAATGGTGCCAGTCACAGGTTGCAGCAACGACTGAATCTTGTGAACGACACCGTTGGTGGCCACGATGTCAGCAGACTTCACCCGTACACAGTTGGCGGTCATCAGCTACGTAGAGTTGAATCAATAGATATTAGAACGGAAAATCGGGTCAAACGCGGCCTTGAAAGATGCGCCAGTTACATCACTGACAGCTAGATAAAGGAAAGAAACTGAAAGAGATGAAAGACACCCACGCCCACACAAACACACACAGACAGACAGACACTTGCGCGCACACACACACGCGCGCACTCACACACAGACGGACAGATACAACTTTTCGCATTAGCAGGTTCGTGACAAGTGAGCCAGTGAATTTAGTGCTGTTTCATTCAACCACATGCAACGTTTTATGGGAGGCGCACATCGGCCATCAGCGATCCTGGCACGTCTAAGGAGGACAAGTCTTTACACCAAATTGCACAGCCATCATCGACAAGGATATTTGTGCCCCTCGTTACAGGGAATGAGAAACTTCTACATGGGGAAACACACTGCTCCATCAGACAACCCTAGCTTTCCTCTGCTTGTCTGTCACAATGGATGAAGCATTTGCTGTAGACACTTGACCTAACACAGCCATTTCCTGACTATGTTACCGTTTTGCCCCGGAAAAATGACCAATTCTAACTGAGCATTGTCTTTTGTTTATGTCTATTGTTTTATTTGTTCTTTTGTTTTGTTGTTTTAAGGGCGGCCGAGAGCCGCATGTTGAGATGCAGATATGTTGAGTTCACGTAAGTCAAGCCATCCACTGTTCCACGTCATAAAACAATTCCACCATTATATTAACTTTGGTATTGTTCCAACAAGGGCTATAAAACACAAATTCTTCTTTCTTCTCAAAATATAAGACTATGGGTAATGAAAAGAATAACCTTCTCTCAACTTGGAATTACCAATCAGAACGCCCTTACCACCCAAGTTGTCATTCACAACGTCACAACACATTACTGTCCCCGTTCCCTGAGGTTAGTTTCTAAATAATCCATGTCAGTAGACATACCCTCTGTGGTCCCTCGTAGAAGTTGATCCTGATCTTGGACTTGTATGGACTTCCGGTCTCCACCAGCTGCTCGTCCTGCAGGTTGCTGATCTTGTACTGACCAGAAGCCATGTGACCCAGGAGGAGGTTCTGAGTGTCCGTCAGCACCAGGTTGGACACTGGCTTGGACACCATCACCACATTTGGCATGTCCTAGAAAACGTGAACGAATTGAGTGAGTGAGTGAATTGACTAAATATCGCTAACAGTACTTCCGTTCAGTGTGTGGTGTTTCTGCTTGATGTGGGAGAAAGGCAGTTGTCGAGGAATTCTCAAGGCCAGATTCACGTTCATGGTGAAGTCAAACCAGGAAGCAATCTGGGATTAGAACCAACCATGCGGGACTCGGGCAAATCCAAGGGAAGCAACTCTACACACATATATCACATGGCAAGATTGAAAGAGCAAGTGACTTGTCTATACATGGATATGGCAGGAAAATCAATGTACAATGACACACTGGCAAAATGGTTTCAACTTGACCTTGACTCTGAATATCATATATTGTAACAATAGGTTGTCACGTGTTACGATCTTCGCGTTTAGTAGTACATGCAGTTTACTTTGAAGCGTCACAAATGGAATCTATTTTTATTTAAATTTAAAGTGTCCAAATGCGTATATATTTTTGTCAGTGCTGGAGATGGCCTATTTATATCATGTACTGCCATTTACTGAGCAGAACTCAAATCAGAGATTGTTGTGTCGAATCCCATATTGGCCCTGAATATGGTTCTGGATTTATCACTGGCTAGCTTCAAGTGGTAGCCGGCATCTATATTCCTCCACATTACAGTGACATGACGTGATGCAACTGAAATACTCATTAAAACGGCGATTAGAAAATCATATTTTGAGGAAATTATGAAATCAATGGAATGAGTCGATGAGCTGTATGGTGTATGCTGTATGTTTTACACTGTATGTTGTATCTTGTATGTTGCATGTTGTATTTTGATTTTGAATGTTGTATACCGTCTGTTTATGTTGCAATTGTATGTTGTACGTTATATGTTAGATGATGTACTTGTATGCTACTTGTAATTTGTATGTTGCATGTGATACGTTGTATGCTCTATGCAATATACTGTATGTTGTACTTTTGTTTTATGCTGTATGCTGTATATTTTAATTTGTATGTTGTTTGGGTCTGTGATATGTTGTACGTTGTATGGTGTATGCTGTGTGTTGTACAAGTTTTGCCCTTGAACATGGTGTAAATGTCAAGGGTTTTACCTAAAGTAACAAAACTGGATGTCAATGGTAACCCAATAAATGTCCTCTAAAGAAATGAAATGTTGTGAACCGTTCAACAGATTTCAGGACATGAATTTGAAGACATCTCTATTTCTTTTCAAGAATGAGCTATAACGAATGCTTTTGTGTGATTATCCCTCGACATATTCTTTTTGTGCGTTTATACTTTTGCCTAACTGACACATTTCTGCGTCGTGTAAACACTCCGGACTCCCTCCTGTGTGTCAGGGTCGGGGGAGTGTCAAGGGGGTGGGGTAGTGTGTGTGAAAGGGTCTGTTAGAATGCATTTACTCAAAGAAAAAGCCAACTGATTGAATCTGGTGAATGCATTCCAAAGTGGCACGTGAGCATCCAGCAGTAATTGTCCTTGACTTATTTCTTAACCAGATTCAGCTGACAAACAAACAACCCCAGGGGGAGGTTTGGTAGATACGCTCAGTGTGCATCACGCAATATGCATGACCGTCAGTATGCATCACAGAATGCCCTACACTCAGTCAACTCGAATACTGTCCAAGTTAATCCTGTATCTTAAATGTTCTTTACGTCGGGCGTTTTCTTTCAAGGACAGAGATTTCAAACTTCTTTGTTTATATTCAACGCCGCAGTCAAAAATATACCAGCTACACTAAACCCCGTTTATAACGAACTGACGAATATGTATATTTTAGTGTAAATGTGACAACGAACTACAGTTAGCCCTTCGACTTCGTTAGACCGTAGTTTACTGTCTATGAAGGCAATCTGTAAATAATCGAGTCTGGACGAGATAATCCAGTGGCTGACGTAAAACAAAAATATCCACACAATTGGCACACGATGATAAACACACCAAAATACATCAGCCTTGTCAACGACCCTGAGTCTGTAAGTCGCCTTTATGACAAGCACGGTCACTGAAGACCAACTCCAAGACTAAAGGTTTCCGTTCACCACCGTCCTGTGGTCTGGAACTCAACCCAGGACGGGTACGATCAATGCCGCTTTAAGCGATGTCGGTATCAGTCGGTCGAACATTGGATTCCCATTCAAGCGGTATCTTACTGTAAATATAAGTTACTAGTATACTAATACGCTAGTCTTCCCATAATATCCTCTGGAGAATGGTGACACACGTATGCACCAGGAAGACCTGACTTAGAATGTATCCAACCAAATGTTGGTTATTCGGTTCACCGCCATTGTGAGCATGCGGTATTAAGGACCGTATTACCAGAGGTGGTAACCTCTACATCCCATAACCCCTACATCCCATAACCCCTACATCCCATAACCCCTACATCCCATAACCCCTACATCCCATCACCCCTACAGTGTCGATTAAAGACATTGTAGCAATCACTCCTTGTCAGCAACTGGTCTCTCGCCTTAGTCGCGTCTAATGACGTTCAGGAACCCAGAACCCAGTCTGTCCATACTGGGTAAGAGTAACGATCATGGTCAGCTACCTTTGGCATAATTTTCTTCAGTTCTGGCAGAGCGCTTCTCAAGTCCTCAAAGGCTTTGTTTTCCGGGACGAAGAGAGTGAAGTTACCCTGTTTGAACTCCTCTGTGAGGGACACGCTGTCGGCTGCCCGCAGGAACTCGCTCAGACCCAGACTCCGGACTGTCCCTACCAGGTCCTTCAGTTCCACCTCTACAACAACGGACATTAGTTTATGCAGACAAAAACAGTATTCTGGACTGTACTCCCTAGAATGTTCCAGCTCTACAACAGCGGTCATTATTCCAATCAGACATTCCCCAAAGTCAGGTCGGTTAAGTTATCCGGATTAACAAATGTCTTGTTTATCGAAGTGGTTCCAAAATAATCTTGCGGACAACATGACGTTTAATTTTGGTCACGAATGTGCCATTCTTTCAGACTGATTAAAGATCCTAGGGCATACTGCTTTGCAAAAATGTATAGATTGGTGTTAAGATAATCCTATTATAGTCTTTTTCGAAAGCCATATACTTCTCGGACAGCCAAATTCCGCTTCCTTTCTCGCGTATCCACGGCAACACTCGTACACTTCCGTCACGACCCTCTGCTTGTCCATGACCTTTGACCTGAAGAAGATGAGGTCAGAACTACATGACAGCATCACATTCTGTAAACTTGAAGAGCCCATTGTATCAACAATAACTTCAACTCGCTTTGTCCTCTCGGAAAAAATATATAATTCAGGTAATGTACCAATTTCAATGACGTGATAAACCTAGGTGACGCGACGACATATACTCACGTGATGGTGCATTTATAGGCAGACTCGGTCTCGTCGCACACGTGCTTGTGGAAGCTGAAGTGACGGGCGATGGTGCCGACCCCCGTCTCCGTGGTGTTCGTCTCCTCGTCCGTCTTGGTGAGGCACACGTTGGGGCTGAAGAGAACAGGGCCATGTGACTCGTTAACACTGAGTATCTCGTGAAAAAATGGTACTGAACTTGTTTAAATGATATGTTCGACGTAACATCTATACTTGGGATGTTTACTGTCAGTTCGACATAACGTGTGTATATGTCGGAGATTATTACCGTCAGTTCGACATACGTGTATATATGTCGAATATTATTTTATTGTGACTCGTACTGTCAACAGTTGTTGGTGGGGTCCACACAAGAATATGCACATGCAAACAGAAAGTGGTTGCAATACTGATAGTTGCGTGCGGCGTAAAACAACATTTGCTCTCTCGCACACTGATATCGGAGTCCGCAGGGTTTCACATACTAGAACTCTTTAATCCCAATCTCGCTATCAATTTTCATTATATGCATAATGCTAAAACTTTAATCAGTAATACATTAAAAATATATGCTTAAATCCAAGATGATGTCATTAGAAATGTAAATTCCTTGAAACAATGTTGTCCCCACGTGACAGGGTCCACTGGCAGCTAACCACTCACCCCTTCCACCAGTCTCTGGATGGCTGGTTCCAGCCGAAGTCGAAGTTAAAGACGCGGTCCTCGTCCTGGCCAAGGCCGAAACCATACTTCCGGGTACCCAGTCTGCAACATGACGCCATATTAACTGATCACCTTTATCTTCCTCACGGAGACAATATCTGTACCGTGAATACTACAGTAGTGTACTGTTATGATGTATACATAAAACATTATCATTTATCCGTATAAGTAGAGACATTATCTGTATACATAGAGACATTATATCTATGCACATAACATTATCTGTTTACATAGAGACATTATCTGTATACATAGAGACATTATCTCTATGCACAGACATTATCTATTTACATAGATACATTATCTGTTTACATAAAGACATTATCTGTATTCATAGACATATTCTGTATACATAGAGACATTATCTGTATATAGAGACATTATCTGTAGGCATAGAAACCTTATCTGTTTACATAGAGACATTAGTTTACATAGAGATATTATCTGTATACATAGAGACATTATATATATACATAGATCCATTATATGTTGATAGAGACATTATCTGTAGGCATAGAAACATTATCTGTTTTCACACACATATTTAAAAGACATTATCTGTTTACATAGAGACATTATCTGTTACATAGAAACATTATCTGTATACAAAGAGACATTATCTGTTTACATAGAGACATTATCTGTATACATAGATACATTATATGTATGCATAGACATTATCTGTATACATAGAGACATTATCTGTATACATAGAAACATTATCTGTATACATAAAATTATCTGTATTACATAGAGACATTATCTGTAGGCATAGACATTATCTGTATACATAGAGACATTATCTGTATACATAGAGACATTATCTGTATACATAGAAACATTATCTGTATACATAGAGACATTATCTGTATACATAGAGACATTATCTGTATACATAGAGACATTATCTGTATATACATAGAGACATAGAGACATTATCTGTAGGCATAGAGACATTATCTGTATACATAGAGACATTATCTGTTGATACATAGATAGACATTATCTGTATACATAGAGACATTATCTATATACATAGAGACATTATCTGTATACATAGAGACATTATCTGCATACATAGAAACATTATCTGTATACATAGAGACATTATCTGCATACATAGAGACATTATCTGTGGGCATGGAGACATTATCTGTGGGCATGGAGACATTATCTGTATACATAGAAACATTATCTGTATACATAGAGGCATTATCTGTATACATAGAGACATTATCTGTATACATAGAGACATTTTCTGTATACATAGAAACATTATCTGTATACATAGAGACATTATCTGTATACATTGAGACATTATCTGTAGGCATAGTGACATCTGTAGGCATAGAAACCGTATCTGTTTAAAAAGAGACATTCGTTTACATAGAGACATTATCTGTTTACATAGAAACATTATCTGCATACATAGAGACATTATCTGTAGGCATAGAAACCTTATCTGTTTAAAAAGAAACGTTCGTTTACATAGAGACATTATCTGTATACATAGAGACATTATCTGTTTACATAGAGACATCCGTTTATATAGACATTATATATATATACATAGAGACATTATCTGTAGGCAAAGAAACATTATCTGTTTAAAAAGAGACATTCGTTTACATAGATACATTATCTGTATACATAGTGACATTATCTGTAGGCATAGAGATATTATCTGTAGGCATAGAAACATTATCTGTTTACATTGAGACATCCGTTTTTATAGAGACATTATATATATACATAGAGACATTATATATATACATAGAGACATTATCTGTATTCATAGTGGCATTATCTGTAGGCATAGAAACATTATCTGTTTAAAAAGATACATTATCTGTTTACATAGAGACACTATCTGTTCATAGAGACAATATCTGTATATAGGGACAATATATGTATACATAAAGACGTTATCTGTAAACAGACATTATCTGTTTACATAGATACGTTATCTGTTTACGTAGAGACATTTTCTGTATGCATACAGACAATATCTGTACACACAAAACAACATAGTCGGGACTGTTAAAGCGGATTCTTTTAACAACGTTGCCGCTCGTTTGAACGGGATTTATCTGTATACACAGAAATCTTTAAGCATATTCCTTTGTGAACCATCTTCAGCATATACCAGAGTATTTAGGGTGTTCGCAGGGTACGGGGGGTATGTTACAGTGTGTGTATGTCCATGTGTGGAGAGAGTGAGGTTCGGGTGTGGGTCTCGAGTTTTAGGGTGTGTGTGTGTGTGTGTGTGTGTGTGTGTATTTGGCATACATATAATTCGGTGCTTACTCAGGTAATCAAGAAGCCCGTTATTAACCCCATCCCCCATTATGTGAAACTCCCATGCAACGCTAGATGTTCACTATGGGCGTGGTGGAGGTTGCGAGGACGACCTGTTTGTACCAGATTCCCGGATTCCATCACTTGTTGATGAGAGGATATGCTTCAAACGCTGAGTGCTGAGGAGGAAGTATATATAGCTAGTTTCAAGAGAAGTAAATGTGACAAAGATGTCAAAGGTTATTTCCGCCGGAATTGCTGTCATCAGAATGTAACATATACCATACAATGTATGCTAAGGGTTTGTGTGTAAACTGTGCTGACATGTTCTGCTCGGCAGTGCGAAATGAGTGAGTGTGGTTTTACGCAGTTTCAAACAATAATCCAGCATTATCACAGCGGGGGGCACCATAATGGGCCTCACTCATTGTACCCATGTGGGGAATCGAACCTGAGTCTTCAGCTTGACGAGCGGACGCTTTACCTACTAGGTTAACCCACCGGCCCCAGTGTGAAATGATGTCTATCAAGAACACTGTGATATATGAATTATTCGGGCAAGCTATGGTTTAGTGTTATATGGAGAGTTATGTTCACAAAATGTCTGTGTGTTTCAATATAAAAATTCACACAATTGATTCCGGATCTTTAGGGCCCGCTGTTCGCAAGTATATATGTGACTTGAAATGACCAAACTGTCGTCGTCATCATCATCATCATCATCATCATCATCATCATCATCATTATCATTAATTACATATTAACTATTCAACCCGACGTCCTGCTATACCATATCGCAAGTATGGTGTAGTATAATGTATATGTATTCTAGATACAGGACAATATAATGTTTATGTATACTGAATATAGGGTAATATATTGTATATGTATGCTAAATATAGGATAGTATAATGCATATATATATGCTAAATATGGGTAATATAATGTATATGTATTCTAAATATAGAGTAATGAAATGTATGCTAAATGTAAGGTAGTAAAATGTATATGTATGCAAAATATAGGGTAGTATGAAGTATATGTATGCTAAATATAGGGTAGTATAATGTATTTGTAAGCTAAATATAGGGTAGTATATTGTATATGTATGCAAAATATAGTGTAGTATATTGTATATGCATGCTAAATATAGGGTAGTATAATGTATTTGTATGCTAAATATAGGGTAGTATATTGTATATGTATGCAAAATATAGGGTAGTATATTGTATATGCATACTAAATATAGGGTAGTATAATGTATTTGTATGCTAAATATAGGGTAGTATATTGTATATGTATGCAAAATATAGTAGTAGTATATTAGGGTAGTATATGCATGCTAAATATAGGGTAGTATAATGTATTTGTATGCTAAATATAGGGTAGTATAGTATATTTATATGTATATGCATGCAAAATATAGGGTAGTATATAGGGTAGTATATTGTATATGTATGCTAAATATAGGGTAGTATAATGTATATGCATGCTAAATATAGGGTAGTATATTGTATATGTATGCTAAATATAGGGTAGTATAATGTATATGTATGCTAAATATAGGGTAGTATATTGTATATGTATGCAAAATATAGGGTAGTATATTGTATATGTATGCAAAATATAGGGTAGTATATTGTATATGTATGCAAAATATAGGGTAGGTATTGTATATGCAAATATAAGGGTATGTATGCAAAATATAGGGTGAGTATATTGTATATGTATGCTAAATATAGGGTAGTATATTGTATATGTGCAAAATATGGGTAAAATATAGGTGTATGCAAAATATAGGTAGTATATTGTATATGCATGCTAAATATAGGGTAGTATATTGTATATGTATGCTAAATATAGGGTAGTATATGTATATGTATGCTAAATATAGGGTAGTATAATGTATATGTATGCTAAATATAGGGTAGTATAATGTATATGTATGCTAAATATAGGGTAGTATATGCTAAATGTATATGTATGCTAAATATAGGGTATAATGTATATGTATGTATTAAATATAGGGTATGTATATGTATGCTAAATATAGGGTAGTATAATGTATATGTATGCTAAATATAGGGTAGTATAATGTATATGTATGCTAATTATAGGGTAGTATAATGTATATGTATGCTAACTGTAAAGTATATGCATGCCAAATATAGGTAAGTACAACGTGTATGTATGCTAAATATAGGATTGTATAGTGTATATGCATGCTAAAAATAGTAGAGTGTAATGCATGTATATGCATATATATGTATGCTAAATATAGGGTAGTATAATGTGTGATATATTTAAATCTACACACGTGTGTATTTAGAGGCTGGAATCGGCACCAGAGGTTCTCATGTATCGAGGACACATTAGCATGAAGCGTGTCGATCCCTAACCTATTTCGAGCAGTATACTCCATTCCACTCATATGCTGACTCACCCGTCTTTCACAAGGAAGAATACAAACCATTCTCACCGAACCTGGTCTGTGCAGTATTTATCACTCAAGGGCTTACCGCGTCCAATAAGATAACATTAATGGATAACTACCGTGAGGAAAAACATTTCAAACCCAACAAGCGATATCACAAGATGGCGGGAGTGTATGTCAATGGCGGGGTTATCGCTGTGACAAAGGATTAGGGCAAATCTCTGTGATATTTGTCGAGGTTTGAGACCTAACTCCACGAGTTGATTGCAGGCTGAGGAAATTAAACGCATATATTTGACCAAAAAATATTATCAACTGTTAGGGACCGTTCATAATTTATGGCTAGGAAGGTGTTGTTGTTGTTGTTGTTGTTGTTGTTGACGGTGGTGTGTGGGTGGGCTGGGTTGTGATGATGTTGACTTTAATGGAGAAGCATATGTACAGTGCTTAGCATAATTTATAAACATTTTTGTGTAGAAATAGAATTGCTGAGGACACCCCTCCATCACATATGTACAAAATTGAAGACCCCAACCTACCTCCTACTAGTCTGAAAACAGTTTCCGAAACACGGCTAACTAGTCAGGTAGCTATGTCAAATACATATACATGTTTTTTAGTTTTCGCCTTCTTAAAATACTGACGTATACTTCATTTGCATGTTGTTGTTATTTAACTTTCCACATGTTTAGGTATAACAGAGAGTTCACAATGTAAGGTACGAGTTTGCTACTGGTGGGAGTTACGTCCCTTAGTAAAGAGTAGGTTAGAGTTATGTCCCTTAATCATGCCAGATTCGCCTAATTATTACGTTTCATGGTGTGGGTTTCCTTCTTTGACCCACATCGGATTATGGTCGCTCTCGATATGAATCTGATATTTAATGTTAACTGACATACAAGAAGCGCTTAACCCAAATCACTGTTGAAACACTATAAATATTGGTTTATCTCTCATTTTCATATACTCCTAACCTAAACAGTAAACAAACAAACAAACATGTTTGATAATAATGTTTATTTATCTTCCATAGTTTGAGAACGTTAACGTAAAGGGAGCTTTGCTTGTGGGCAAAATAATCTTTCTCAGTTTATTTGGCTCTAAAATAACCTTGATATAGTGATTTGGCCTTTGTTATCTTGATAGCAAAGAGACATTAGTGGTTTAACAAACGCGTTGAGGTAAACCAGGCGACATGTTGTGAACACCCCCACGTGATAAGGGGGGAAGTATTTTATCATGAACTGCAGATCCTAGTATACGGTAGCAATGTGGTGTATTGCTTCGTACACTTGCGATTGAATAACGGCCAATATAACTGTTATCTACTTTAAGAATAAAATAATGAACTACGTTTGCAACATATTATTAACACAATTCTAGAAGTATGGCGATTGACCTTCACCTTAATTATTGAAACCAGGTATTCAAGCTTGATGAGCGAACACACCAACCACTGAGGCTACCCACACACCCTTTGACATAAGAAACCACGTATATGTTAGCAAAGAGCTTCTGTCGAAATATTTGTGCTTAACAATATGTGTTTCACCCTACTTTGTAATAGCGTATATTTTGCATGTGTCTTGCAACAAATTAGAACTTGGAAATATTTTAAAATATGACCAGCATAATGTTTCTGCGTCAGATAACTATACGCTCATTTGTAGCTAGCATGTTACAAACATTAACTTAAGTTTGACGTTGAATTAGTCAACAGCCCTGTTATTTTGCTTTTTATACAGTATTCACGTCCAACAGCAGGTGTCATATCTACTCACCGGATATGACGTCATTGGAAACAGATAACGATGCTTAAATAACTGGCTTTATTTCCCACCACTCCTGTGTAGGGAGTTTAGAACCAAGATTCAAAACATTTTGGATTTCAATGCTATTTCATTTTACGCGTTTGCACTCACTGAACTGTTTATGAAAGAATATTTGCCACAAGAAATTAACCCTAACATCCTGCTCCCAAAATGCCACATATGTTAATTAACATTTCGCCCCGACTCAAAGTTGTTTATATGTTGAGGATTTAGTTACAGAGCTTGAGAGAGAACTGGAGCCAAAGAATCGCTCTCGGAACTGACTTTAGGCATGTTAGTTTGGAAATATGACTCGGCGAAAAATCGAAAAAAATCGAGGCCATTTTCTTTCCTTTTTCTGAGCACGGACGTCATAGAAGACAACTTACCGGAAACCGTTTAGAATGAACGTAAACACGTAGCTAATGTCACTGTGTCTTGCATGAAAAAGTGGCGTGCAAAATATCATATCGAAGATATCGGTTCTATCTTTAATTCATGTGTAGTATCTGCCACCAGAAAGTTTGTATCTGCCATCAGAAAGTCTTGCAGAAAGTGGAATTAAATTATGACAAGCAATTAACTGCGAGCATGGTAATCTATTTGGAAATGTATTCAAATATATTATGAATTGTTTTTCTGGCACAAAGATTAAAGAATAATCATGTCTGGTTGATGTTTATGTAAAGAAAATCATCCGAAATATGCAGATGACAAATATATGAACAGCCATGTTCTCTTTCACTGACCCTTGGATATGGCAAGTCGCAGATAGATAAGAATTACAAACAAAACAATCGCAACAACATTAAGTTCATTCGTATTCCGGGAACAAAAGATTTAAGGTTTTGAGTCTTAAATAATTCAAAATGTACCCTACACATAACGCACGACCCCTAACGACTGGAACAGCATGTACAAATGAACCTGCTTTAATGTCCAAGCTCACCTTCCCATCAGTCTGTCCAGAAAAGATTTCCAGTTCTGAGAAGATGGCCAGTCCCATGACGACCTGTCTTTCTGCACGTGTCGTTGTCGCTTCCCACGTCTTCGTCTGCCGTCACAGACGGCAGAGAGCAGGAGCAGAACTACCACAGCAACTACACACAACCTCATGACGACTTCTGACACAGGGATGCTAACAGTCGTCCAGCACGGGGAGGTACTGGCAGCGGAATACTGCTGCAGACGGTGTGTTATTGTTTGGAGATTTATGTAAGCTGGACGGAGGGGGCTTAGTCATACACAGCTGTTCTGGAGGGGGAGGGGAATTGGGGGCTTTGGGAACCGGTATCACTACAGGGGAGGGGTTGAGGGTTACAGCATTCGCAATTTCTTAGATGTATTTTTTAGACCGGAAATTAAAAGAACAACTGGTACTTGAGTCACAGTCTCCATTATTTCATCTATAAGTGTTGTTCTGGTTTTCTAAATGACCTTGGCGTCTCTAAATTGATGTAATGTGTGCCGAAGAAAGAAAACACAATTAACCCCGATGTACTTAGACGACTGTAACTCGGGTGATTTTCATGTTGTGCGAGATTGTAAAGAGCACGCGCACTTTGATATTACAGTTATGTGATATGATTCAGTTGGGAACGTCACGCGTCAGTGGGGAGAGTGAGATCTCGTGCTGATGGTCGTGCTGGATGGGGACCAAAGGTCATTCAGCTAATCACGGGCAACTTATCAAGATGTTCCAAGACAAAGAGTGAGAGAGTTAACATCAGCCATTTCTCTCGACATAAGGGTAATGGCTACAGTATCTAGCCGAGTGCTTTGTGCGTCGTTTGAAATCGTAGTTCTAAGGCAGTTCGATTCCCAGACTTGTATGTGATGTTTCTTTTGTATTGCAATTGACAATACAGCTACTATTTATCCTGTCACTTACTTTACCTAACAACTTTACAGCTACTATATACCCTGTCACTTACTTTACTTACCAACATTACAGCTACTATATATCCTGTCACTTACTTTACCTAACAACTTACAGCTACTATATACCCTGTCGCTTACTTTACTTACCAACATTACAGCTACTATATACCCTGTCGCTTACTTTACTTACCAACATTACAGCTACTATATACCCTGTCGCTTAATTTACTTACCTACTATAACATTACAGCTACTATATACCCTGTCACTTACTTAATTTACTTACCAACTTTACAGCTACTATATATCCTGTCACTTACTTTACCTACCAACATTACAGCTACTATATACCCTGTCGCTTAATTTACTTACCAACATTACAGCTACTATATATCCTGTCACTTACTTTACTTACCAACTTTACAGCTACTATATACCCTGTCACTTACTTTACTTACCAACATTACAGCTACTATATACCCTGTCGCTTAATTTACTTACCAACATTACAGCTACTATATATCCTGTCGCTTAATTTATTTTACTTACAACATTACAGCTACTATATATCCCTGTCAATTAACTTTTACTTACCAACATTACAGCTACTATATACCCTGTCGCTTAATTTATTTACTACCAACTTTACAGCTACTATATACCCTGTCAATTACTTTACTTTACCAACATTACAGCTACTATATATCCTGTCACTTAATTTTTACTTACCAACATTACCAGCTACTACTATATAATTCTGTCGCTTACTTTACCAACTTACAGCTACTATAACTGTTACAGCTACTATATATATATCCTGTCGCTTAATTTACTTACCAACATTACAGCTACTATATACCCTGTCCTGTCTTATATACTTATTTTACTTTACCAACATTACAGCTACTATATATCCCTGTCAATTACTTTACTTACTTACATCTACTACTATATAACTTTACAGCTACTATATATCCTGTCACTTACTTTACTTACCAACATTACAGCTACTATATACCCTGTCGCTTACTTTACTTACCAACATTACAGCTACTATATACCCTGTCGCTTACTTTACTTACCAACATTACAGCTACTATATACCCTGTCGCTTAATTTACTTACCAACATTACAGCTACTATATATCCTGTCACTTACTTTACTTCTACTAACAACATTACAGCTACTATATACCCTGTCGCTTACTTTACTTACCTTACTCCAACATTACAGCTACTATATATACCCTGTCGCTTACTTTACTTACCAACATTACAGCTACTATATACCCTGTCGCTTACTTTACTTACCAACATTACTATATAATTCTGTCTTACTTTTTATTTCTACCAACATTACAGCTACTATATATCCTGTCACTTACTTTACTGTCAGCTTATATTGTCAGCTTATTTTACTTTTACCAACATTACAGCTACTATATATCCTGTCACTTAATTTACTTACCAACAACTTACAGCTACTATATATCCTGTCACTTACTTTACTTTAACTTACTCTACTATACAGCTACTTGTATACTAAACATTCTGTCGCTTACTTTTACTTACCAACAACATTTATAGCTACTATATACCCTGTCGCTTACTTTACTTACCAACATTACAGCTACTATATATCCTGTCACTTACTTTACTACTTACCAACATTACAGCTACTATATACCCTGTCACTTACTTTATTTCTACTAACATTACAGCTACTATATATCCTGTCGCTTACTTTTACTTACTAAACATTACAGCTACTATATATCCTGTCGCTTACTTTTACTTTTACCAACTTTTATTACAGCTACTATATACCCTGTCGCTTACTTTACTTCTACCAACATTTTGTACAGCTACTATATACTCCCTGTCACTTACTTTTTACTTACCAACATTACAGCTACTATATATCCTGTCGCTTAATTTACTTTACCAACTTTACAGCTACTATATATCCTGTCACTTACTTTTACTTACCAACATTACAGCTACTATATACCCTGTCTTTTCTTACTTTTACTTCTACCAACTCACAGCTACTATATACCCTGTCACTTACTTTTACTTACCAACATTACAGCTACTATATATCCTATCGTTAATTTTGTTTACCAGCAGTACAGGTAGTGCATTTACTGGAGGCTACCCCTATTTTACTAACTGTATTTTCATGGGTGAGTGAGTGACTGAGGGAGGGGGTTGAGATAGTCCCGACAGAACACACACAGGCATTTATTGTCCACAACTTTTTGAAGAGGGCCTGTGAACCAGGTTTAAAACGTAACTTTAGGCAGCGTGTTAGTCTAGGACCTATGCTAACAGACCCAGCTTGGGTTGGATTTACTGTAAATAATTAACCCAGATTGCCTCTAGCTCCTAGATTGTTACAGGCCTTGTTTGAAGTTGTTATCGATGTACAGTTTTAAATAAGATAACTTTATTTCTGAGATTAAATGTCTGTCTAAATGAGTGCATGAGTATTTCTGTTCTGTCACAAGCCCGTGGTGATGGAGGTCGCTTACCCTGAGTGAGTGAGTGACACTCACCCATGTGTTACGTAATATCACTACTGCTGTAAAGGGGTGAGTGAGTGAGTATGGTTTTACCCCGCTTTTAGCAGTATTCCAGTAATATTACGGCGGGGAACACCAGAAAATGGGCCGTACCCATGTTGGGAATCGAACCCAGGCCTTCGGCGTGACGAGCGAACGCTTCAACCACTAGGCTACCCCACCGCCCCACCTTTGCTGAAACCTACCAGCACGGATATGTAGTCTGTCATCACCTTGAAACAACTATACCCAATGCAGCCCGTGCAAGTCTATAATGTGTTACCAGTCTTGGACATGAAGAAAGTCTCTGTGCTCCTTTTCATTGTACTTTTTAACTTCTAAGTTTTGTCTGTAAAATATGTTCATTCTTGTAGAGACCAAATGTTACCTAGGTTAGATGACAAAACATGTAAACGGATAAACACAGTTCAAACCCACCAAGGACATAACCTTCACTCACAAATGCAGCACTTTGTAAAAGCTGGCCACCTCTTCCACTGACGTCCGAGAGACTCGCCCACAGCTTACTGGATTTAGCCATTAAACCCACAAGGATAATTTTATTCCAAAATAACTATAACATTACATTACTTTACCTATGACACCCCTTCTACCATCGCCACATTGTATGTGAAAAGTGGTATCCTTTAATTCGAGAATACACATTAAGGATAAACACATTAAGGATAACTCTGCGTTAGTATTACTAATCTAGTGCACGTGGTTGGTTCATTTGTTGTCCATGTGACGTGTAGAGGGAAAATACAGATCATAAGGATTATATTTATTATCATTCTTGGAATATATACTAGTTGGCTCCTTTATATTTTGATCTATTTAAAACAATGTGAAAGTGTAAATTAATAGTTCTGAGCTAAAATGTTTACTGAGTCACGCATACGTAAGGTAATAATAATAATAATAATAATAATAATAATAATAATAATAATAGTAACAAATCATCATCATCATCATCAAATGTACTATCATCAATAATATCATCATCATCATCATCATCACTATCACTATCATCATCAATTACCATCACTCATCATCACCATCATCATCATCATCATCATCACTACTAATAATATAATAATAATAATAATAATAATAATAATAATAAATAAATAACAAATAATAATCACTTTCGACAACAGCAGCCTACCAGATGTTATATGCTGATCATATTTATCGTACCAGTGGATCGCATAGTGTTCATAGTCGATGGCTTCACGTATTCCCAAAACTAGATGACCTCTAATTAGGGAAACAATAATACACAAATTAGAGGGATGAAGTCATGCTTACTTACATGACCTTACGTTTCCTTCCTCCTCCCCTGACATAACCCTGATTTTCTGATTCACATCCTAGCCTCATGTCAGATTACCACTTCCACTATCCCTCCTACACTGAACCCCCTGCCTCTCTCTTTTCTCCTACACACACCCCTCTCCCTTCTCCACACCACACCTCCACACCCTAACCCTCCCTTCTCCTACACAATCCCACACCTCCCACACACAGCCCCCTTTCCCTCCCACACATACCCACACCTCCCACACAATCCCCTCCCTCTCCCTTCCACACACCTTGAGATCTCGATCCAGATCTGGAGACTTTGATCTCGATTTTTGAGGATCTCTTGAATGACGCGCAAAAGCGCAAAAGCGGAGGACGGAGGACGCAAAAGGAAGGAAAAGGAAGGAAGGACGGAATGGAAGGAGGAATGGAAGGATGGAAAGGAAGGCACACACAACCCTCCCTCCCCTTCTCCTCCCACACAACCTCCACTTCCTTTCCTCCCACACACAACCCTCCACTACCTTCCCTCCTACACACAACCACCTCTCTCTCTCTCTTTGTCCCAAGTACACAACCCCCTCTCCTTCCTCCTACACACAACCTCCCTCCCTCTCCTACACACAACCCTCTTTCTCCTACACAAACCCTTCATGTATTCTCTCATACATATACAACCCTCTCTCTCTTTCCTATACACACAACCCCCTCTCCTTCTCTATACACATAACCCTCTCCCTTCTCTATACACAATAACCTCCTTCCCCCTTCTCCTCCTACATTACTAACCCTCTCTTCTCATATACACAATCCCTCTGTTCTCATACTGCACAACCCTCTCCTCCCATACACACACAACCCTCTCCCTTCTCATACACACAATCCCTCTCTCTGTTCCTATACACATAACCCCCTCTCTCTTCTATACACTCAATCCCTCCCTCTGTTCTGCATACGCACAACTCCCTCCCTTCTATACACACAACCTCCCTCCCTCCTTCTCATACACAACCCCTTTCTCCCTTTCCTCTATACACACACAATCCCCTCTCTGTTCCTACATGCACAACCCTCTCCCTCTTCTCTTCATACTAATAACCCTCTCTCTCTTATACACACAATCCCTCTGTTCTCTTTACGCACAACCCCCTCTCCCCTTTCCTATACACACACAACCCTCTCCCTTCCTTCATATACACATTAATCCCTCTCTTGTTCTCATACGCACAACCCTCTCCCTTTCCCTGCGTAATACACAACACCCGCTCTCTGTTCCTATACGCAATAACCCTCCCTTCTCCTACACACAACCCCTCTCCCTTCTCCCTACCCTCACTGCTCCTCGCTCTCCCTTCTCATACACAATCCCCCTCTGCCCCCTACACTCAACTCCCACTCTCCTTCCTCGTACACACAACCCCTCTCCCACTCTCCTTCTCGTACACACAACCCCTGCTCTCTGTTCTCCCTCCTCCACACACAACCCCGCCTCTCTCCTACACACACAACCCCCGCTCTCTTTTCTCCCTACACACAACCCCTCTCCCCACCCAGACCAACCTCTGGCTCTGAATCTAACTACTGACTGATGTGTTTGGGATACAATCCAAGAACGATACATCCATATCACTGCGCGTCTGAACAGATCTCTGTAAATCATTAATACTACATCGCTACAGTTTTTGCTTCTTTCGTAAGCTTGCATTTTCATTAAAAAATAAATTTATTTAAGTTGTAGTTGTATTATTTCAATTTTATTATAAAAATAAACTTCATATTTATCAACATGATATAGGTAATGTCTGTGAATGTCTACATCTCTACAATCCAAGATGGCGGTCAAATGTGAATAACGAACAACGGATATAGCGAACTAAATTTCTTGGTCCCTTGGAGTTCGTTATATCCGTGTTCTACTGTATCTAGAACATGAGACATGCGGTGTAGTGGGAGAAGACTGGATATCGGTGAGGGGTGGTCGCGAGGTGGCCTCCGCTGCAGGTCCAAAGTGCTTGTCAGGATGTTTTGCACCCTCAGCCCACTTCAATCCGGTTGCACTGTAGTACTGACTGACACTGTATATATGTAGTGAATCATCATGAACTGAAAAGGGTTAAATTTAGCAATACAGCCACACTGTGCACTTAAAAGAACCCACGAATCCGTTGGTATATGACCAGATGGTGGCCACATGAATACATGCAAACACCAAGTTGCGGGTACAGCAACGTGCAGTGAACTTGGACAAAGTACTGTGACTATGTGTCCCAGTCCACCCAGCTGTGAATGGGTACCTCGTTAGGATGAGAAGGCCACAATAACTCGGTGCGCCTAGTGGCTGTAAGAGTTGTATGCTCCCCAGGGAGTTGAGATTGATAACACGATGTGCCGTTGAGACTGACATCCAATGATCGGGGGAAAAATACCAGCGCCTTGAGCAAGCACTAGTTGCCTGGATATGTGCGCTATATAAATATCATATAATAATAAAATAATAATAATAATAACTTCCGCCTTCCCCGCCAACAGCTCTACGCTTGTTATGTCTGCCACAGTATGTGTGCATGATGTGCATCTCATTACGTTACCTTATAAAACTTTAAATAGAATCTTTGCGATTTATAAGTGTGATATTTCACTCAGCTTGTGTCACACAGAGGAAGTGTATATCAGCTTGATTATCTTTTTAAAAGGTTTGTTTCAGAAATCGTGAGTTTGTTTTGTAAATGTATCACGATATCATATCGTTTCTTGACTTCTTTCTGTATTCTCTACTCGTCACGTTATGGCTGAAATATTGCCGATGTGACGTTAAATTTTAACTCACTCACTCACTCTGTATTCTCTGACACCTTGAAAACGTGTAAGAAAGTAATGTACTCTTGGTGTGAAACTACAACTGATTCCATGCAACTTGACGGCGTACAACCACATTCCCAAAGCACTAGGTTCGGAGGTCCTTGAGGTGATGACCAGTAGGTGGTCTAGTGGATTGAGCATCTGCTTGGAGAGCGGAGGTTAGGGGTTCGAACCCTGGTCGCGTCATTCCTATGTAGGATAAAACATGGTTCCTGCTGCTTTAAGGTTTTAAGTACTAAAACAAGCGCAAGTCGGCTCGGGCCAGTGTACTGTGTCTGAGTGTGGTAGCCAAGAGCACACACGCTCACGCACGCACGCACGCACACAGGGACACACACGTACAGATATGTCGGTAACTAAGTCGCAAACGCACTCACAGGGACACACACGTACAGATATGTCGGTAACTAAGTCGCAAAAGCTTAAGCGCGAAGTTGAACCCAATACTGAGATCGGATCTGTGCCAGGACTCGCCTTAACAATACAGGTCAATATGTCAGGTACCAGGATACAGTCAAGAAAAAAACCAGTATAATCGCACTGTTGCGGATCGATTTTACCTCTTATCGCGCATGTCAAATCTCCTCAAAAGTAGGCCAACACGAGTAGCCTCCCCTTGTCATTTGTTACTTGATCGCTACCTGGCAACGCTCAGTGACAAGTGACAATAACCAGTCTGTGGATTTGAGGTACGATATGTGTGTACAATCAGTGAATGCTTTATTATTGATGATAATCGACATATTGCAGTTTATTATTACATATTACAGTTATCGCACTTGACTCGTGCTATGGCCAGAACTAATCGTCTTATTCAGTTTCACGGCGATTTGACAAAGCCTGATTATTATTTCTTAATTACTGGCCTCGACCTTGAGCCAGCATATTCTACAGCTGTTATTCAACTATGTGAATGGTAATATAAAGTATATGAATATTTAAAGTAATAAAATAGCGTACCTCTATTTCTGTCCATGGAAAACTGCAGTCTTCATATTAAATACATTTATCACCCGACAGTATGAGATAGACTTTGTGAGGGCCACAGTCCGTTATTTCCTGCTATAGTCTGCCCTGACAGTGTGAGATAGACTTTGTGAGGGCCATAGTCCGTTATTTCCTGATATAGTCTGCCCTGACTGTGTGAGATAGACTTTGTGAGGGCCATAGTCCGTTATTTCCTGCTCTAGTCTGCCCTGACAGTGTGAGATAGACTTTGTGAGGGCCATAGTCCGTTATTTCCTGCTCTAGTCTGCCCTGACAGTGTGAGATAGACTTTGTGAGGGCCATAGTCCGTTATTTCCTGCTCTAGTCTGCCCTGACAGTGTGAGATAGACTTTGTGAGGGCCATAGTCCGTTATTTCCTGATATAGTCTGCCCTGACAGTGTGAGATAGACTTTGTGAGGGCCATAGTCCGTTATTTCCTGCTATAGTCTGCCCTGACAGTGTGAGAGATAGACTTTGTGAGGGGCCACAGTCCGTTATTTCCTGCTCTAGTCTGCCCTGACAGTGTGAGATAGACTTTGTGAGGGCCATAGTCCGTTATTTCCTGCTCTAGTCTGCCCTGACAGTGTGAGATAGACTTTGTGAGGGCCACAGTCCGTTATTTCCTGCTCTAGTCTGCCCTGACAGTGTGAGATAGACTTTGTGAGGGCCACAGTCCGTTATTTCCTGCTCTAGTCTGCCCTGACAGTGTGAGATAGACTTTGTGAGGGCCACAGTCCGTTATTTCCTGCTCTAGTCTGCTCCGACAGTGTGAGATAGACTTTGTGAGGGCCACAGTCCGTTATTTCCTGCTCTAGTCTGCCCTGACAGTGTGAGATAGACTTTGTGAGGGCCATAGTCCGTTATTTCCTGCTATAGTCTGCCCTGACTGTGTGAGATAGACTTTGTGAGGGCCACAGTCCGTTATTTCCTGCTCTAGTCTGCCCTGACAGTGTGAGATAGACTTTGTGAGGGAGGGCCACAGTCCGTTATTTCCTGCTCTAGTCTGCCCTGACAGTGTGAGATAGACTTTGTGAGGGCCATAGTCCGTTATTTCCTGCTCTAGTCTGCCCTGACAGTGTGAGATAGACTTTGTGAGGGCCACAGTCCGTTATTTCCTGCTCTAGTCTGCCCTGACAGTGTGAGATAGACTTTGTGAGGGCCACAGTCCGTTATTTCCTGCTCTAGTCTGCCCTGACAGTGTGAGATAGACTTTGTAGAGGGGGCCACAGTCCGTTATTTCCTGCTCTAGTCTGCCCTGACAGTGTGAGATAGACTTTGTGAGGGCCACAGTCCGTTATTTCCTGCTCTAGTCTGCCCTGACAGTGTGAGATAGACTTTGTGAGGGCCACAGTCCGTTATTTCCTGCTCTAGTCTGCCCTGACAGTGTGAGATAGACTTTGTGAGGGCCACAGTCCGTTATTTCCTGCTCTAGTCTGCCCTGACAGTGTGAGATAGACTTTGTGAGGGCCACAGTCCGTTATTTCCTGCTCTAGTCTGCCCTGACAGTGTGAGATAGACTTTGTGAGGGCCACAGTCCGTTATTTCCTGCTCTAGTCTGCCCTGACAGTGTGAGATAGACTTTGTGAGGGGGCCACAGTCCGTTATTTCCTGCTCTAGTCTGCCCTGACAGTGTGAGATAGACTTTGTGAGGGCCATAGTCCGTTATTTCCTGCTATAGTCTGCCCTGACAGTGTGAGATAGACTTTGTGAGGGCCACAGTCCGTTATTTCCTGCTCTAGTCTGCCCTGACAGTGTGAGATAGACTTTGTGAGGGCCACAGTCCGTTATTTCCTGCTCTAGTCTGCCCTGACAGTGTGAGATAGACTTTGTGAGGGCCACAGTCCGTTATTTCCTGCTCTAGTCTGCCCTGACAGTGTGAGATAGACTTTGTGAGGGCCACAGTCCGTTATTTCCTGCTCTAGTCTGCCCTGACAGTGTGAGATAGACTTTGTGAGGGCGATAGTCCGTTATTTCTTGCTCTAGTCTGCCCTGACAGTATGAGATAGACTTTGTGAGGGCCATAGTCCGTTATTTCCTTGCTCTAGTCTGCCCTGACAGTGTGAGATAGACTTTGCGAGACTCCGTTATTTCCTGTGTCTGCTCCGACAGTATGAGATAGACTTTGTGAGGGCGATAGTCCGTTATTTCCTGATATAGTCTGCCCTGACAGTATGAGATAGACTTTGTGAGGGCGATAGTCCGTTATTTCTTGCTCTAGTCTGCCCTGACAGTATGAGATAGACTTTGTGAGGGCGATAGTCCGTTATTTCTTGCTCTAGTCTGCTCTGACAGTGTGAGATAGACTTTGTGAGGGCGATAGTCCGTTATTTCCTGCTATAGTCTGCCCTGACAGTGTGAGATAGACTTTGTGAGGGCGATAGTCCGTTATTTCCTGCTCCAGCATGCCCTGACAGAGTGAGATAGACTTTGTGAGGGCCACAGTCCGTTATTTCCTGATCTACTCTGCCATTACTGTGTGAGATGGACTTTGTCAGGGCCATAGTCCGTTATTTCTTGCTCTAGCCTGCCCTGGCAGTATGATGTAGACTTTGTACATGTGTGTTTTAGGTGTTCATGTGTGTTGTAAGTGTTTATGTGTTTTGTGTGTGTGTTTTGTGTGTTTTGTGTGTGTTGTTGTGTGTGTTGTCTATGTAGAGTTGTATTGCTAGGACCCAGGCATGCAGTGACAGGGCTGTGCATACCAGTTTTCACATGCTCCAACGAGTGGAACGGCTGAAAGCGCCGTCGTGTTTGATGTAATTATACACTGGATCCGTTGTGTCTTAACATCTGCTTGCTATCTCATGCATATTGATAGTATACATGATGTTAATCTTTCTTACAGTATCAAAAAAAACCCTGGATACTCTGTCACAATGACCCGTCTGTTTCTTTACAAACGCAGCATTCGGTGGTGAAACAAACCGCCTGCAGGGTGCTCTGATGCGTAGACCAATGATGCATGTCAGAGAGACAAAGATATAACGCCATGAGGTGATGTTGGTGGGTAATGTGGAGCTCGCTTCGTTGTTGTTGTTGTGTTAGTTGCTTTGGAGGTCGCCTTCGCCGGTTGGCATGTCGGCAGACCTATCCCTCCTTGAGATGCGTGGGGGACGCTCGCTTCGGCGTTGTGGACACTTATGTACCCCCTGAGGAGGCGAATGGCGTCGTTGTGGACTCCCAGGGAAATCCTTTTAAATCACAACGATTTGTTTATCATGGGGAGATAACGTTTGTAAATTTACTGTTGGCGAGTTTAATAGTGACTGCTTAAGTTATTAAAGAACCACTAAACTTTGTTTTTTGTTACTCTTTTAACCATTACATATGAAAGATTTGTGGTTAGTCTTATGCGGAACACCAAATTTATTCTTTAAAAACTTGTGGTTTATTAATACCGAGCGATTAAAAGTGGCCAAAAAGTCGCCTGCTTCCCTCTCGCCCGCCAACGAAACCACAGACAGGTTACGTAAGAGCACTGCAGTGACGTCATATGAGGAACGATTTTCAGTTAGTTGTATCAGGGAGACTCTGTTGTAGAGTATCCCTGGTTGTATAGAAAGTGTGTAGCACGCTCATCATTTTGATGATTTCTCGACATGAACGACGACATGACGAATCGTTGCTTTGTCGTCAATTGCTCCTAGGGGTCGGGTGATGGTGTCACCATGCACAGATTTCCACAGGACCCCGCAGTTCGTGCTAAATGGGTTATGTTTGTGAGTGCGAAGCGAGCGTTGTGGAAGCCTGAAACGATATCTTACTTGTGTTAAGATCGCTTCACGGAAGTTAAAGAATCAAAACTACTTACTAGTTATAGTAAAATATGTATATGATTGATGACCATAAAGATTTTCCATAACACAACTTGTAACATAACGATTTCTTCCTCGGAAGTGAGGTTGTGGTCGAAGTAACAATAATATTGTAAGTAGTATTATATTGACTCCCACCTCGCTGCCACGAGAAATTGTTATGTTATACGCTATGTCATGCAAAATCCTATTGGCCATCAATAAAATACATATTTTACTACCAGTAGAAAGTAGTTTTGATTTTTAACTCGGTGAAAACAAACCTAAATAGCATTTATCCACAGACTGGCGGATGTTCCCGACAGGGCGCCGCCATTTTTGAAAATCGTAAAGTCTGTTAGAATTAATGAGATTATAGTTTGTTTTCATCAAGTTAGAAAATCAAAACTACTTTCTACTCGTAGTTAAATATGTATTGGAATCATAACCAAAAGGATTTTGCATGACACAACTTATAACATAACGATTTCTTCCACGGAAGCGAGGTGGGGGTCGAAGTCACAATACTGCGCGATAAATTTCTTGCTACATTCACATGGTTAATGTCCACTCACCAGTATGTAGATACTAGTCAATGTGCGTCTTTATATTTGGTCTTATAATCCTAATTAGTTTATTATCATACTTTTATGCATTTTGAAACTAAATGAAAAGCTGACGATCTGCTGATACTTATAGTGAATTTATAACAGAACTGTAATATCTAGACATTTTATAGTTTGCCAATGTGAATCATAATTCGCACACACACCTAGTGTATGTTGTCTGTCTCATTACACTTCACGGCGAAAACAATGATTCTGTTGAATGCTACGACAAATGAATAAAAAACAAAATGCAAATATTAAAATTAAAACAGATTAAAGTTATAGGAACAATATCAGGT